ATGCAAAATATTTACATATGAATTGTTTTAGAGCCCTTTAATTGGCAGAATCTGATATTAATTTAGTTCTTACAAAAAATGGGTCCCAACATGGTTTGTGTGGCGTTGCCATAGTGTGACGTCATAGGCACAGATCCCCTGTCCTCTTGTTTGGAAATGGAAATATGGTCACCCTACATTAAACAAACTGTCCACCCGGGCTTTTGCACTGCACAGAGACGCTTCGCTGCCTACGACTGAACGTCAGTTGAGAGTCAGTCTCATGCAGACTGACCAATGAAGAGAGGGCCTCAAGTTAAGACCCTCTCCTCATTGGTCAGTCCACACGAGGTGGGTCAAAGGTTACTCTGGGCGGGTTACGTGTTGTCAGGCATTCAAGTATTGAGTATATTTACTGCATATTACAGTAAAATATTCTGTATGTGACCACATTATGGTGATCCTTGGGTCGTGATGATGGAGCCCTTGAATATTGTTGCCCAGGGTACAACAAAGTGTTAATCTGGCCCTGGTTCCGCCGTCACATTCCCGCAGAAACTGGTTGATCACACCGGGGCCAGACTACTAACATGTGGTTTTACAACCACAATGTCCTCAGAAGCAAAAACGCTTTTAAAAGGGAGGGAGGAGTCCTAACTGTTGCTGCAGGCGTGTTGTGTGAGAGTGCAGTTATATACTGGTTAATATATTTTTGGGTTCAGTTGCTTTCATGTGGCCTAATGTGAGTCTATTTGGGATCATTGGAATGATCAGCAGCATTTCTTGATGTGACTTTATGGCAGTTGCCCAGGGCATCATCGCAAGGAGGATGGCATTCATTTACTTTTGTTTTATTTGGTATTTTTTCAGTCATTTTTGGAAATAGTGATCAATTTTGATAAATTCACAGCCTATGTTTAATTACATTTAAAATAAATGTCAACAGATGAGATCAAACAAAACAGATGAGAATTGCCCTTAAGCTGTTTAACTTGGACCAAGCATTTTAGGTCACAGATAGATGTAGCTTAGGGTCTCTGTCTATACACCTTATAAGACAATTTAGGTGATGGCATGTTGTTTTTCTGCTATTGAACTGTTTTCTAATAATGTTGTGTTAAATAAAGTGAAGGAAGGAGAGAAATAACGTTTCCCTAGCAGTTTTTAAAAATTTCCCCATGTAATCCGATTAATCGATTAATCGTGTCGAGACCCCATCCGATTAATCGATTATCCAAATAATCGTTTGTTGCAGCCCTAGTGGGTTTAGAGGTGGTGATTGCATGAAGAGGTGGAGGAGAATGAAGGATTGATTTGTCCGTTTTATAAAGTCTCGCACAGTTGTTGCGGAGCTCACAGAGAAATATAAATCAGGCTTCAGTGTAATACATGTGACAACCCCATCTAGTGGACAACTTTTGATTCTTTGCATACCTATAGTTATCGTCCATTCATTGTTATTGAGGTGAATATACCGTGATATTGATTTTAGGCCATATCGCCCAGCCCTATTGTGACATAGGGGTTAGGACTGCACTCAGTAACTGGTGCATTGCCAGTTAGACCTCTAGTTTTAAACTAATAAAGATCAGATTTTCAAGACCTGTCACTACCTATTGCAATAAAATATCTAACTGACGAATACTTATATATAAATAAATAATAATTGTCCCTGGTAATCTTTAAACCACACTGAAATTTCTGATTACTGTCCCCAACAATATTAAATACTAACCAGCAGCAATGCGACTCTTCCACCGCCTTTGTTAGCTCATCTTTCCAGGGTAAAAATTGCCACATTGACATGTTATCTTCACAAATAACACAAGTCTGAATGTGTTCTCCCATGTAGTAGTTGCTAATGCAGGCAAAAGGGGTTGAAGAAAGTTTTCAGCATGCATGAGCAACTCAGAATGACTGACCATATTTAAAAAATAACAAGGATCACACAGTTTCTCAGACCTTTAAGGCTGAGGATTCTTTATATAGTACCCTGAGAATATTGACTCAACCCTGTGTGGTACTAAAGCATGTTAAAACACATCCTATGATGGAACATAATTGGATTTACGAGACACCAAACAAGCTAAAAGACCAAGCTGGTCTCCCTACAGTGGGCAAATAAATGTAGACTGTGACGACAAACCCCATCGATTATTCAGCCACAAGGTTGCGAGCTTCCTAGCGTCATTAAAATAAATCATTTGTTTTGGAAATAAACCATTCAAGACCTTTACACATGGTCAAAAATTACTTAAATATAGTCTGTATAAACTTTTCACTAATTTCCATCTCCTCAGCATCTCATAAATTTTACTGCATTCCTAATCGCCACAGGAGGTTTTTAGTGTGCATTTTTCCAATACAACAAAAAGCATCCTGAAAACAAAGGTTTAAATAAATCTAAATACTGATTCTATCAGTTATAGACACGGATGTTGAGCTTATCTTTATGAGAAATGTTTCTATCAGTTATAGACACGGATGTTGAGCTTATCTTTATGAGAAATGTATCTTCCTTTTTTCTTCTATATCTCGATCAGAACTGCAACTACTAAGCAACTACTCAACCATAGATAACTGCTTTGGATCTAAAAACATTTTAGATATCAGCCCGATAGCTACAATAAGTTTACTTACATTTAAAAGGGAAATTTGCCCCTGAAGTAGCTGCTGGCACCTGATCCTCCATCCTTTTGAAAATACCATGCTGTATTCTGGGGAATGTTTTACCAAGGCCAGGCTACAAGACACTTCCTGTTAGGGCTGGGCAATAAATAGAAAATTTATTGAGATATTTTTCTTATGTCAATAAATTTGATAAAAATATAAAGAAGTGTGTTGGTTGGCAACGTTCATGTCGCTTTACAAAGCTGTACCACCTTGAGTCACGTAGAAATGTGACTCAACGTAATACACGTGACAACCCCATCTAGTTGACAACTTTTGTTTCTGCGCATACCTGCAGTTATCGTCCATTTATCATTATCTTTTTTTTTATTTTTATTTTTTTTTCGTGTCCTGTCTGGCTGTGAAGCAAACAGAATTAATGTCTGAATGCTGGTGACAAGCCTTACAGATTTACTCTCAGGTGGAGCATCAAAGCTTCTGCTTTTAATGTCACGCCTGATACTTAAAACTTTATTGTTATTGTTTTTGAATGCTTTGTAATTCTGACCAGACACGGAGACAGAGGTGAGGTGAAAGAGAAAGGAACAAAAGTGTGTGTGTGTGTGTGTGGGGGGGGTGTCCACAAAAATAAACAATCAATCAGGGGCGGGGTTAGGCCTGGCTACTTGGGCTCAAGCCCCGAATGTTTTATGAAAAGCATATTCTACCGAGGCGTGTGTTCTCCATTTGTTAGCCATTTAGCCAGCTTAGCGAGGATACACGGGAGGTGTCTTGTAGCCTAGCCTTGGTCAAAAATTACCCAGAATACACTGCGGTATTTTTAAAAGGACGGCGGATCAGAAGCCAGCAGCTACTTCGGGGACAATTTTCAAGTTTAAAAGTAAGTCAACTTATTAAAAATGTTTTTCTTTTTTAGATCCAAAGAAGTTATCTATTGTTGGTTAGTTGCTTATTAGTTGCAGCTTCAGTGGCTAGCGGGTAGTAACTCGCTTATATATTTAATTTAATAAACATAAACACAATTTAAAAAGTAAAAGGCTCGTTATATATTTACATTGAAACTAATACGTATAACATATAACGTTGTCTCCCATGTCACGCCACGTTACGTGACCGCTGTGGAAGCCGCAGTCTCGTGATGCAAGTCTGTTCCACTTAACCATTTTATTTGACCAAGGAAGGACAGTGTCCTCGTATGCAAGGTACCTGGCCTCGCAAGACATCGCCTCGCAAGGCCAGGCGCCTTCACATTGAGAAACACTGAGGGTTTGGGAACTCTCCTATTCAAATAACCTCACCCTGTGAGAATTCTAATTGAGCCAATCAGCGCAGAGTAGCGTATGTCACACACCCTAATGCCGAATTTGTTGAACATAGCGACTGAAGCGGAGTTCGCTGTGGCTCTTTCCTCTGTTCTAAGTTACTTGGACACATCTTTAAAACAGCAACAAGTAGAAGTGCTTAAAGCATTTCTTCTAAAAAAAAAAAAAAAAAAAGATGTTTGCGCCATTGCCAGACGCCTTTTTTTTTTTTTACTACAGATAAAGAACTACAGCGTAGCGAGGCACAGTCGGCATTTCCGTCTTTTTTCTGATTGGTTAATTTTGAGCTGCCTAGTCCCTCCCCTCATGTGCCACTCTGCCTGTGAGTTACCAGACTCTTTCTCTGTGCATTATGAGGACAGAGGACAAGTCTGGCAGGCCAGGGTAGATATCAACCGCTCTATGCTCGCAATTAGGAGAAAGTGGGTGTTAGTGACCTCCTTCCAGGGAGGCAGGTTTCAGGTCTGAGACAAGCTTCATGGGGAGGAGAAGGGCCTGATGGCACACTTAGCTTCCATTGAGGTTGTGCAGGCTTTTCAAAATAAAACTCAAAATTTGCAACTGAGAAAGTAGAATGCATGAATGTAGCCAAAGTCGAGTTTGGGGGTGTTTTTCATGAGGAAATATATCACATGCTAAAAAGCTCCAAAAAGTGAATTTTCCATGATATGGCCTCTTTAATACAGATTCATCTATGGTTAAACATATCAGAGCAGATGTTAGCTTTAGAAAATATTAGCCTTTGGGGCTAATAGCATCCTATCACAAAGATGCTAATGACAGCTATGTACCTAGGAAAAAATGTCATGCATAAAATATGCAAAACTGCAATTACAATACTTATATTATAATTGTGAAGCAGTTTACTAAATACGGTAGAAGCTAAAGTTCCTAATTTAGCCTATAGCTGGTAAATTGCTATTAACTCATAGTAGCATATTCATTAAGCTGTAAAACGTATGTACATAAAAATAACACCACAATAAACATCCTTATCTTTTTCAGCACTTTTAAATATTCAGACAAATGTTCACAAGTAGTTATCTAGGCTACTGAACTTTTCCTTACCTTTGGCGCGCACATTGCTGAGTCAATGATATAAAAACGTCCCTTCCGGTGAGGGTGAGGACCTCTACCTGCCCTCCTGGGCTCTGAAAGGATTTCTACAAATGAAAGGTGAAATAATAAAAGTTATTTCATTTTGCTCCTCCTCCTTGCGACTGACAGAAGAGAAGAGACTGAATGTTATAAAAGAAACTTACTGAACTCTTGTAGAGACGGAAAGGAGGGGTTTCTTATGAGAGAGAGAGAGAGAGAGAGAGAGAGAGAGAGAGAGAGAGAGAGAGAGAGAGAGAGAGAGAGAGAGTCGCACGCATCAGAGGACATTTTATGTAACTGTTAAAAAAACTATATAACTTAATCAAATTATGAGAGAATTATATGATTTATAATTGAATAATACAAGAAAACTGGTTAATAAATATAGGAATCTTATGAAAACAGCTAAAGTGTATATTCAAGTGCATATCTTGCACCAATACTAGATATTGGATTTTTTTTCTTCTTTTTCTCCAACAAATTTAACGTTTTAAACATATTCTCTTTTACACATCATAGAATGTTGAAGCATTATAGCATACACATAAATGAATTTTACTTCTAGGATAAAATTAAACAAACAAAAAACATAAAACAGGTATCCGAAATGTGTAAAAAAAATTATGCAAGGATCATTTTAAGGTGACTAGTGCTTAGCCAAGATCCCAGAGAATTAAATCTGAATGTCTCAGCTACTTTTGCCTCAATTTTCCCAGATTTATGAAAGTACAATTCTCATTGCATCGATAGTTTGGAGTACTCAAACATTTAGTTACAAAAGGTTTGACTTCTTGTTCTCATTTGCACAGTATCGCGCAGGTCCACAATTCATGGAGGATTGTTTCATCGTCTTCCTCAAGGACAGCAGATAAAATTCAAGGAGGCTTCTGTGCTTTTGTTTCCAGCTGATGACCCTCAAACAGAGGCATCTTTCTCTATCACTGCAGCTCATCTCAAGGACGTTAGATAAAATCCAGTTCAGACAGTCCTCCTCTCATCCTTTCCATCTCCATCTGCAGCTAAGACTGACTGTTTGATTCTGCTGTTCAAAGCTTTTTGACTCTTGGCTGGTTCTGTGTTTTTAAACAATCAATAGAATCAAAGTGACCAGAGTGAGAAAACACAACCTTAATCCGCCTGATAGGATTCTGGCAAAGGAGGTTTGCATTCTGATTTAAAATGACCTCAGACAAGCTCGACGACTCTTAACTGAGTTATCTTTCACCTCGGAAAGAGTGAATAGAGAAGAATCGATGGGGTTGTCCATAAAAGCAATCATCAGACAGCCATGGCAATTCAAATCATCTCAACAGCTGAGTGTTTCCTTTGGCTGGTGGAAATAAAAAGGCTGCATCAGCTCATATCTGGATATTGACAAGGAGACAGAAGCCTGAGAAAATCCTCCAATACAAATTGTCATAATTGCTCACCGATTGATTTCTTTTATGGGGTTGACTTATCCCTGGAGGTCAATGCAAGTTACAGTATGTTCTATCTTTACAACAATAGCCTCAGCTCCTAAACTAAACCAAAGATTTAATTTGGCAGTTACTAGAGAAATCTGGAACTGTTCTTTTTTACTGGAGTTTTCTGTGTGTGTGTTTCCTGCGTGGGTTTCATACAGACAGCCTGGTAAATGGCTGCAGACAACATTCAGGCAATCATTTTATAACAACACGCAATAATAACGACACGAGGGATGGAGGGACAGTTTAGATCAGTGGAGACCTGCTCTGACTAAAGGACAGACCACGTGGACACTCAATTACATTAGAGTACTCGAGTATTGGGCTCAATACTCAGTAAGAGATTTGAATCATCACATCAGCAGCACTGATCGAGCGACGTGTCTTGGTGCTGTCATCACAGCCCTAAGCCCTTTGCAGAGAGATGTCTCACGAATCTGCATCAGCACTTTAACTAACCCACTGCCACTGTCTCATCGAAAAGATAGATATGTTCAGAGGACTGACCAAAGTCAGGTTCACTTCATAAACTCCTGCAGATAGATGTGTGTAGATTGTGCCATCTCCTGGTAGAACAGTGTAAACATTTGTTAGGTGCAAACGTTACACCCTGGTACCAAACTGGACTCAGTCATGACTAGAATCACAAATCACTCCTCGGACAGAACTAACAGATCAAATGTTATTCATTTTCATCTATTCATATGTCTATTACACACACTATTGAAAGCCCTTGTCTAGCTCAAGGATCTGTACGTAACTCATGGTTCTGGAAAAAGATGACTTTTTTTTCTCAGTGATCCTAATCCTCTTCTGTAGATATTTTTCAAAAAATCTAAATTGCCATTTGTCAAAAGACCCTAGAACAGTGGTGGCTCTAAACGAGTTTTATTCCACTGGACTGATGGGAAAAATAAACTGTTGGATTGGAAATGTAGCAGACTCCTTTTCTATCATTCATTCTTATTTTTTTAATGAACAAACAAAAATCTAGATTCCTGTTTAATAAAACTGTGATCGTAATGACCAAACCCCTCCTCAGTGAAGCATGATGGTATACACACGGTATAAGCCATTAGCTAAAAAGTCAAGGCAATGCGGCTTTACATGGAGTGCAGAATTATTAGGCAAATGAGTATTTTGTCCACATCATCCTCTTCATGCATGTTGTCTTACTCCAAGCTGTATAGGCTCGAAAGCCTACTACCAATTAAGCATATTAGGTGATGTGCATCTCTGTAATGAGAAGGGGTGTGGTCTAATGACATCAACACCCTATATCAGATGTGCATAATTATTAGGCAACTTCCTTTCCTTTGGCAAAATGGGTCAAAAGAAGGACTTGACGGGCTCAGGAAGGTCAAAAATAGTGAGATATCTTGCAGAGGGATGCAGCAGTCTTAAAATTGCAAAGCTTCTGAAGTGTGATCATCGAACAATCAAGCGTTTCATTCAAAATAGTCAACAGGGTGGCAAGAAGCGTGTGGACAAACCAAGGCGCAAACTAACTGCCCATGAACTGAGAAAAGTCAAGCGTGCAGCTGCCAAGATGCCACTTGCCACCAGTTTGGCCATATTTCAGAGCTGCAACATCACTGGAGTGCCCAAAAGCACAAGGTGTGCAATACTCAGAGACATGGCCAAGGTAAGAAAGGCTGAAAGACGACCACCACTGAACAAGACACACAAGCTGAAACGTCAAGACTGGGCCAAGAAATATCTCACGACTGATTTTTCTAAGGTTTTATGGACTGATGAAATGAGAGTGAGTCTTGATGGGCCAGATGGATGGGCCCGTGGCTGGATTGGTAAAGGGCAGAGAGCTCCAGTCCGACTCAGATGCCAGCAAGGTGGAGGTGGAGTACTGGTTTGGGCTGGTATCATCAAAGATGAGCTTGTGGGGCCTTTTTGCGTTGAGGATGGAGTCCAGGTCAACTCTCAGTCCTACTGCCAGTTTCTGGAAGACACCTTCTTCAAGCAGTGGTACAGGAAGAAGTCTGCATCCTTCAAGAAAAACATGATTTTCATGCAGGGCAATGCTCCATCACACGCGTCCAAGTACTCCACAGCGTGGCTGGCAAGAAAGGGTATAAAAGAAGAAAAACTAATGACATGGCATCCTTGTTCACCTGATCTGAACCCCATTGAGAACCTGTGGTCCATCAACAAATGTGAGATTTACAAGGAGGGAAGACGGTACACCTCTCTGAACAGTGTCTGGGAGGCTGTGGTTGCTGCTGCACGCAATGTTGATGGTGAACAGATCAAAACACTGTCAGAATCCATGGATGGCAGGCTTTTGAGTGTCCTTGCAAAGAAAGGTGGCTGTATTGGTGGCTGATTTGTTTTTGAATGTCAGAAATGTATATTTGGGAATGTGGAGATGTTCTATTGGTTTCACTGGTAAAAATAAATAATTGAAATGGGTATATGTTTGTTTTTTGTTAAGTTGCCTAATAATTATGCACAGTAATAGTCACCTGCACACACAGATATCCCCCCAAAATAGCTAAAACTAAAAGCAAACTAAAAACAACTTCCACAAACATTCAGCTTTGATATTAATGAGTTTTTTGGGTTCATTGAGAACATGGTTGTTGTTCAATAATCATGAATGAGTGTCACACCCTGTCCTGTCTCCCTGTTTAATTCAGCTCTGTCTCGTTAATTACCCCCACCTGCCTCTTGTTTCCCAATCACCTTAGCTCCTGGTCCTCCTGTATTTAAACCCTGTCTGTTTTGTGTTCTGTGTGGAGTCATTGTTCCAGTGTCAGCGTGCGTCCTAATAAACCTGTGGAATTAATCCTACCTGTCTGCCTGCTTCCTCCCCGGTCTGGATCCTCGCCTTAGCTCCGCTTCACTCTGCAGCATGTTGCGACAATGAGTTTCTGTAGGTCTTGTCTGGACATGAGACCTCTGAGTTGTGCTATCTGATTAAGATGATGAAACACTGATTTTATTTTAAGTTTAAGCAAATTACAAATTAGAATGTAGTTTAGTGGTTAGCATTATGCTTCTGTTTATTCAATAATGGTAGAACCTCAATAATGAAGGTTTCAAAATGAGAATTAGAAGTTCTTGAATTAAAATTGTAAATCTCTTTCTGTATATAAACTATTGTCATTGAACAGTTTGGCTATGTATTCCAAAACTAAACAAAAAGTATGACTTTTTCTTGTTAGGAGTAGATATCAGGTGAGATTTTTTTAAAAACAAAAATTTGTTTTTATAATTCATATATAAGATCATCATCCACACATGTAACACTCTGTCCTCTGGTCCTGCCCTTCGGTCTTCACTTTGACCCAAGAAGACCTGATAATCTGCAAGTTGACAAAACAGTTCAGATGACTCCTCCAAACCCTTTGTCCCCTCGTGCTGCCTCTGCTGTTTAAGCAACTTGGCATCTACTTTATGATTACATCATCCTGTTGATGCTCTTTGTCCTTCCCCTTCAGTCGCCTCCTATCTACCATAGGGAGCCTAAGTCACTCCCGCACCACGGGTCCCCGGAAGAATGAAAAATGAATGCAAGTCAACGAGGCTAAAAACGCTATTTTCTAATCCGCTTGTTTTGTGCCATGGATTTCACATATGATGTCCGTGAATTTTAAAAACACATTTTGACACCAAGAACGTGCTTATTTTAAAACGGGGGGAATGATATTTTAGGTTTTGTGTGAAAATAAGTCCAGGACTATAAATGCACTTCATGAAAGTGACTCCATCGACCCAGACACAGAGAATACTGAGGGAAAAGGTTTGTAAGTTCAGCAAACTTCCCACAGGAGGAAAGAACCACCATGAATCTGGTCATTTGGTAAGTAGCAGCTACTTTGGGCAGAGGAGATTATGTGGTGACGTCACATATGCAACGTGCCGATTTCTAGTTTGTAGTCATACTAATTACGAACTTTTACAAGCTAATAAATCTACATGACTGGCATGGTCAAAACACCCATCATTACTTTTCATTACAGTACAACATATGTGTGATCCAGGGCGTAGGGCAAAGCGAATTAGAAAATAGCCTTTTTAGCCCCGTTGACTTGCATTCATTTTTTTCGTTCTTCTGGGGACCCGTGATGCGGAAGAGACTTAGGCCCTCTATTAAATGGATCAGCCACATCTCTTTAAAGAGGGACTGCACACCATCAGAAAATGTAACTCCACCCCTAGTCAAGATTTGAAAAATGCTACGAAAGCAGGCATTGCCAGGAGGCATGGAGTGGCATGGCCAAGTGTGGGGAATTTCCATCCTGGGAGGGAGGGGGAGTGGGAGGAGACTGTACCGATGACGTGAAATTGTACCAGCCCCAGTCAATCACAAATTTAAAATGTAGTAGCCACAGTTCAACCCACAGGGGGCAGCACTAAGATGTTTTAGACCAAGATTCTAGATTTAATTAAGTTTACACAAACATGTCAAAAAAATGTGCAGAAACAGAAAGATTGCATTTGTAAAAACCCAATTATACAGTTTATAAACAAAAAAAAAGTTATTTTGGGGACTTTAGTTTTTAAACACAACCTAAAACTAAATATCCTATTAGAATTATGCACCTACAAATTCTTTACCGAAAGTAAAATATTAAAATCACATTAACAGTCTTTATGTAGAAAAAACATTTACAAATCAGATGAGTTTAGATGATTTTTAATGCAGTCGTTCATTTGCAAATTATTGCACATTTTAGTTTACACTAAATAAATACAGTCTGATAATGGCTTTTATTCCCAGTACAGTGATGCATTTAAACATTTAGAAGGAAAAAACCTCAGAGCGATCAGAGAACCACAAACCTGATCTAACACACATTTGTCCGGTTGTTCCAACACACTGATTCTGTGCTCTGGGGTTCATGTGCATCCCTGAAAATCTCAAGTTTCATTTCTTCTTTAACCTTTCTTTCCATATCAAGTAATCAGAGAATATTTATTGCACATAGCTACAGGCGCACAAACAGGTCCAATAAACGGTTAGTTTTTTACATATAAATTAAAACTACACGCAAAGGAAAGTTTAGATTTGTAGTTTCCTAAACAAAGATTAGATCTTAAATTACGTCTCCTGAACTTTGACCTTACACATAAAAATAACACATGCTGGAGCAGCATATGTGAGAGTGCAAACACACACGTTTCCAACTATCTTTGTTTATCGCTGTACTCCCTGAGACACTGAAAAACTGGTTAAAGGTCATTTTCAGAACTTTTACCGCTTTATAATTAACAATAAAATCATGACTGCTGATCAGTCAAATGAATAAGACAGCTCATTTAGTTGAATACAACATTTTACTGGGATATCTGAATTCTGGCATTCATCTGAATAACACTGAATAACACTTTTAGCACCAACCTAAATGCTGGACCAGCTGGAACATCAAAGACTCAGACCCCCCCCCCCCCCCCCCAACACTCTCTAGACACCTGCTATTTTATTCGTTAACAAACACACTGTTGTTTTACTGCTTTTCAGCACGCACACCTCAAACTGGATGAGTTGAGACAACACCCAAAAATCTGCCCAGTGGCCTAGTGGTAGAGTGTATGCCCTGGGACTGGGAGATTGGGGTTTAAATCCCGGTCATACCACAGACTTTAAAAATGGGAACCAATGTCTCCCTGCTAGACGCTCAGCTTTAAGGGGTTGGATGGGGGGGAGGGGGGTTAGAGTAACCCTTAAATCACCAAATAGTTCCCAGAGCACAGCCACTGCTGCAGCTAACTGCTCCCTATGGGTTAGGGGTCAAATATGGAAGATACATTTTTCCACACACCAGTGCGTGTGACAACCGATGGGACTTTAATCTTAAAGCTGTATCAGTTTACATCTGTGATCTTCTTAGTCCCTACACCCCCAGCAGGTCCCTGAGGTCCAGTGATCGAAGCCTACTGGTTGTACAGCACCAGGCTTCAGACCAAAGGTAACAGATCATTTGCTGCTGTGGCCCCCAGACTCTGGAACTCTCTCCCCCTGAGCCTGAGATCAGTGGACTCAGTGGTCTCCTTTAAAAAGCAGCTGAAGACTCACTTGTTCAAGCTGGCTTTTGTATGACCTTCTTCAACCCCTCTCTCTTTATTCTGCTCTCCCCACCTATTCCACCTTCCTCAGGATCCACTGATTTCCCTCTTTCCTACTCACTCTCTCCTTCTTAACATTTTTTAATCACAATTGTCTATTTTTTCTCATTTTAAATATATTTTTAACCATTTTCTAAATGATTTTTTATATTTTTACATTTTTTGTTTTTATGAAGCGCCTCATGATTTTTATCTTGAGAGGTGCAATAGAAATGATATTTTCTTCTTCTTCTTCTTAAATGACAGTAGTTATTTAAGACAGTGTATTAGGGCCACTGAGGAAAAATAAACATGGAGGAGGTGTCAAGAATAAAGTGAAATCAGTGTGTTTTTTTAAGTCAAAATAAGACTATTTCAAGGATAGCCTGATAAAACAACCTGGTATTCTCCTGAACACATCTGTATTTATTTAGCTTTTATCATAACCACCCGAGGGCTAAACTTTCTTCAACTCTTCAAAATAAGAGTCTTAAATATACATGTCCTTAAAAAACATTTGAAACTTCAAAACACAGTCTGAATTTTCCCAAAAACAACAATAATAAATTATTTTGAAAGCTTCAGAAATTTTGAAGCACATGCTTATATTTGAGGCTTTTGTTTTGAAGAAATAAAGAAAGACCTTTTAGTTCCACTGTGGACGCTGCTGCAGGAGTAGTCTACGAGCTGCACCTAGCACTCAATAAAAGATCTAGTTTTCATAGTTCAATGAGTGAAAACACATCCATAGAAAGTACGTGTGTGGGTTTGAGACTCTTATTGTGACGGGTTGAAGGAAATTAAGTCCTCTATTTGAATAGTAACAAACTAGGGAGAACAGGGGTTACTTCCTCAGGTCATTATGGAAAGGGTCTACTTTTAACATTTTTTGGAAACAGTGATTAAATGTTTTTCCTCAACATTTTGACATTAATCTCAACACTTCCTCATTCGTTTGCCTCCTGGTGCAACTAAATAGCAATCATATAAAATACATGTAAAAATTTATAGTTTTTCCCACTTGGAACTTAAGTTATAACATTGTTTTCCTTCTCTGTTATGGAGAAAGAATGAGGCCAAAATATAATCCAAAAAATAAAAACAAAAAACACAGGTAAACATACACTCTGTCCAGGGTGCACCCCGCCTGATTGTCCATTGACCGCTGGAGATAGCCCCCCCCCCATCACCCCCCCACCCCACCCCCGCGCGACCCTATGTGGACAAGCGGATTCGGTCAGTGGATGGAAGGATGGACAGGTAAACGTAAATGAGGTGTTATTTTTATCTTCTTTTGCACCAAGTACCGCAGCAATTTCCTAATGTTGTGATTTCACGCACATATTGCAATAAAACCTGATTCTGACTCATGGATTATTCAGTTTAGACAAGAAGCAGGCATAAACTAGTCCCTACACACGGACTGAGCGTCTAAACTTTCTACTTTAACCCGCTTATTTTCATTGCTTCATCGGGTCTGATGATGGAGCAAAAAGCAGACGTATGGCTTCAGCTTTCCTGCTGATTTTCCTGCTGGTGTGGACTACCCTGGTAAAACCAACCCATAGATTAGGTGTCAAATAAGAGAGCCGAAGTCTCAGTAATCTTATCCCTGTTCAGCGTTGTCTTTGTCCCTGCCTGACACACACGGCGTTGCAGCACCTGATCCTTCTTGTGTTTCTATCACCAAGGCTTTGAAGGAGATCGGTTTTAGCTTGTGGGTCATTAAAGCTTAATAAAGGAGACAAATGTGATAAACATACATGTAAACTGCTTTCACACAGTAGGGGTGGAGTTGTTAATCAAGATGATTGACATTCACTGTGTGGAAAACAGATGACAATGATTAAAGTGATCTTTACCCCAAAATTCCACTACCTCCGCAGCAAAAACGGTCCCGTTGTAGTCAATCAGAGCTGTTCCACTACTGCGGCCGTGCAGTGCGCCGCACGGCGGAATAGGATCGATTCTATTTTTGCCGGACGCCGGAGCACCTCCAGTCAATGGACAGAAATCACAACCACCCAACAGGAAAGGGAGTAAGCACAACTTCTGTTATTTCACAATAAATCGATAAACAAAAAGCGTTTTTTGTTTCATATGCACAGGTTTAACAATTTTTAACAACTATCAATGGCGGTTGAACTTTAAATGCACAAAAATAAGCCATAAATACAGTTTCCACTATCAAAGTAGTCACACTTTGTTGATCCAAACACTGCTGATCTCTCAACACAAATGATGGGCAGATTAAACAGTTCATTTCGATGCTTCTCCCACACAACGGGTGTTTGGATCTAACTTCCGCTTTATTGCTCGGACTGTATCGCAAGATCTCGAAAATCCCGTGCATGCCTGTTTGCGCACCTCAGGTCTCCGTACCGGAACGGAGCCGTTGTAGAGCGGGATAATTTGAGTTCAGAAGCGAGCGGCAGCGGAGGGCGGAGCGGAGATAGTGGAATTTTGGGGTTAAGCTCAATGCCCCCACAACTCACCAAAATGATTAAACTGGATTAAGGTAGGCTTTGATATCAGGTTAGCTTTTGGACTGATAGGATATGTCACCATAAACTGTTCTAATGATCAAAACTGGGTTAAAATCATTATTTTCATTTCTCTTTTACTCTCGTCTTTTAAAAAATATGTACACACTTGTGTCTCATCTCTCCTTCATTATTTTTTCCAGACAGTCTACTATGTCTTCACCACTGACCCAAGGGACTATGTTGGCCTTGAATTTGGCGGACTTGGACTGCTGCATCTCCACCAGCAGCCTGTGCATGGGGAAGTCCCTCCTGGTGAAGGCTACATCCTGGGGCCCCAGAGCCTGGCAGGGGCACACGTCGTTGGCTCCATCGCCAATGTAAAACACCCTCTGGAAGATAGTGCCACCATGCTCCTTTTGTCGAGCTGTCAAATATTGTTGCAGGATCAACTGCTTGCACATGTTGTCAGGACAACGGGAGCATGAGTGTGAGTGAAAAGGCAGGAGCACAAGCTGGCCTTTGGAATCAAAGTCGCCAGGGTTTGTGAAAATGCGCCTGAAAAGGTGACGCACCCCAGCATGCTCCAGCCATGTTTCTATAAAATACATGTTGGCGTCAGAGACCACCACCAGCTCAAAGTCCTGCCGATGACTCTGCAGGTACTGGAAGAGTTCCAGGAAGCCAGGGGTGGGGGGGATCTTCTCCACCGCTGAATGGATGGATTCTTTAGATATGCCCTGCTCTGCCATATAAGCCAGGACCTTCTGTGTGTGCTCATTGTAGTGGCCTTCCCGGTAGCTGTTTCTCAGCCAGGTGGGGAGCTGTTGACCTGGCAGAACTCGGACCATGGCATCGTCACTGTTTTCACTGATGATGGTCTCGTCAAAGTCGAACAACACCAGGAAGCGTTGCTCTTGTGGTGGTGTGTGGACTGGGTTTGATGAAGCTGTCATCTTTGGTGAGTGGTCCCTTTGTGAACAGAGAGATGGAAAAAAATCTTTATTATTTATTTATTGATGTTATAGTTTACTACAAGATGACGAAAAATACCAGCAGAGTGGTTCACATTGACAAAGAATCTCAGTGTATAAACACATCTAATGAGGCCATAACTGAAGGGGAAATGTTGGAAAACCCACATAAACAGGATGTCCATTACACTCAACGGGAGGCAACAACCCAAAAGAAGCTCAAACTAAGACGTGTATCATACATTATCTTTAATCTACTCCGATGCTGATGAACTATTTGCAGCAGAACATTCCTGCTTTCCTATAGGGACCAATAGTCACTTCCCAATGTTGGAACATTCCCATATTTACTGACTTGAAATGTTTGTAGCACAAAGATTCCCTCGCTCACAGGAATGTCGTAGCTCATGTGAAAACAGAGCCAAAAACATCTCAGCACATCTTTTCCATGAGTGGAATTAACCTTTGACTTAGAAGGTAAAATTGGCATCGTATGGGAGTACAAATTGTAACTCAACACCATTATTGCATTGTTTTTCTTTCAAAGCAATATTTCTATTTTTAGTCAAAAGCATAATAACAGTGAGGAATTGGCTAAATAAACACAGCTGTAAGTTTTTCATACTTTTGTTCTGGAGCAGTAGTTTCTCAGTTTTTAAGTGCACACACTGCACAACATGCTGTGATAGTGGAGTACATCAGCAGCAGTCCAAAGACATTAAAGGCAAAGAGTTCCTTGAAGGAATGCATGCTGCTTTCCAGCTTTTATACCAGGCTCTCAAGCTTAGTTCAATAAGTTATGCCATTACTGTATTTTCTGTTGTTGGTTATTGAATTACAATGAATCCAAAGATATATACAATGTTTCATATCATGTCCCTTGTGTCCTGTCTCAATAAAGTTAAGTTTTGGCTAGCAGCCAACTATCTGCATGTTAATGAGGCTAAGACAGAGATCCTTATTTTTAATCAGAACAACAGGCAGGCTGCGGGGGATTCCAAATTTGATCTGGGCTCTCTCTCTCCCTTTTTGAAGCAAGCTTTCACTAGCCTGGGGGTGAGAAGAGACTCTGGTATTAATTTGGATGCCCACGTCAACTCCGTATTCCGATCTTGTTTTTCAACATGCAACGCCTGACCAAAATCAAGCCTATGCTGGCGAGAGTACACCTGGAGCAGGTACTCCATGCATTTGTAATTTCTAGGTTAGATTATTGTAACTCTCTTTATGCTGGGCTTGGTCATTCATCAATTTGTCGTCTTCAGATGATGCAGAATAGTGCCACCAGGTTTCTCACTGGAGCCAGGAAAGTGGACCACATCAGTCCAGTGCTGGCCTTTCTGCACTGGCTTCCAGTCGTTCATTGGGTGCATTTGAAACTTCTGGTGTTTGTTTTTAATTTCTTTCATGGATGCGCTCCTCTTTACTTAGCAGCGCTCCTGAAACGATATGTGCCATCACGCTCTCTACTCTCCTCTGGTCAGGGCCTGCTAGTTGTCCCTCGTACTAGGTGTCAGACTTGTGGAGACCGGGTTTTTCATTTCTAGCGCTGTCACTCTGGAACCAGCTCCCACAGTCAATTAGGCAGTCTAATTCATTGCCAGTCTTTAAGAGTTTAGCACTTGTTGGCCCCTTTGTAAATGGTCATGGTCATAAAAATGAAGAAAACACATTGAATGAGAAGGTGTGTCCAAACCTTTGGCCTGAGAGTTCAAACTCATCCATCCAAAGATCTGTTTCATATTTGGATGAAGCTGAATACAGAAATTATTGACAAAGGTTTAAGTAAAGTCCTTTAGATACAGGTAATGATTACCTTCTGATTGGTTTCAAATAAAATCTGTCCCGTTACTCATGAGAGAACTTGCTTAATGACAAGCAGGAGAACATTCTAAATGCAGACCATACTTGCCTATCTGGGCTGTCCAAACCTTTAAGCCAACTTAAAAGTCCTCATGGGACACATAATCTGTTTTTTAACTATAAAAAATGCTAAATTCTCTGGTGCGAAGCCCACCCAATATCTCTCCACAATCATAGAGAGCTGTGATTGGCCCAAACTAAAATAGTTCAGGCCAATGGTAGACCCACTGAAGCTACAATGGAATGTGGCTAGCAGTGTCGGCTTGTCCGGTGGGGGGGGTGGGGGGGGGGGGGGTTGTGGGGGGGCGTCCCCCGTCCCCCCCACTCACAGGGAGAGGAAGAAGAAGTTAGGAATCACAAAATTAAAAAAGGCTACAATTAAACTAAATTATCTATACATCATACAGACTATAAAGTGCTGTGGTTAATCTACATCTAAGTGTAGTTCTCTCACATTTTTACCACAACCTAATCTTCTTGTGATCCTTTCAGGAGCAGCAATCTCTATCATAGTCCTACGCTATAACTGGGACATACACGCTGGATCCCCCTCCAATACAAAGAATAGGAGTGCCTTTGGGTGTAGAAGTTTGAGACCAAAACCGGGTAAAGTTTCAGCTCAACTAAGGATGTTCACCCAGAACCGGAAGTTCTCATCTCCACAGTTAACTGCACATTTTATTTAATTTTATTTCATTCACTGTTCTTAGTTTGTTGTGGAGCAGCTGAGTACACTTCATGGAGTTTTTTATTGTTGGGGAACAGGGAAATGACAGGAAAAAAAAGAAAGAACCCAAACAGCCAGGAATCACCTCAGTGTGACGGTGGGACTATCCCGATAGAACAAAGTGAATTTTTTTTACTATAACATGGATTATTATGACCATAAACCAGTAAAGGTAAGATTGAACGTATGTTTTAGACTTCATGAAACTAGCATTGTTTTGCTTTTCCTTTAGCGGCTTACTGTTATTGGGTTTCGTTGAGGTAGGAAACGTAGATTCTATTGTTCAGATGAAACTCTTCCAGTTAAGTATGTGTGCAGTTTGCATATACTGGTGAATAATAAGCATGTCTTTGGAACAACTTTGTTGCTGGAAGTGCTCGTGGACTTGGTATTGGGTTCGTCGGGTTCAAACTTTCGGGTTCAAACTGTGTGGTGCATAAGAAAAAGTTACAAAAGAAAAATCACCAATCCCCACTGGTGGCTAGACCTGCGGAGCAAAATGTTTTGCTACTGCTACAGTTGGTTGGTCTAAATTTCTAGATGCTTGAAAGATAAAATTCTGTCATTCTAGGAATGCAATCAGAGACTACACATATCCCTCTGAGGGCAGCAAGTGGCCCCCGGGCCACACTTTAGACAGGCTCGTCTTGCACGCTCTGTTAGCACTTTATATTGAGGATAACAATTAACTACAAAACCTTAGCTCAATATCTTTATATTTGATATACCGTAAATCCTCTAATACAGGCCCGGGCCTGTATTTGACTCAAGCTCATCAAGCTCTAGGCCTTTATTGGAAGGAGGACCAGAATTAGAGGCAGGCCTCTATTTCTATTTGAGCAAAATGAACTAATGGTTCGTTGGAGTTTTTTACTATTAAAATTGCGCCCACATTTTCTAAGTTAACGCACATTTCTTTTAACAACGATAGTTTCTGCTTCAGCCCTCTCCCCCCTCCCCCTGCGCAGCGGCCGCAAACTCACTGATGCGCCTGCAGCCTCTCGGAGTTCCTGCTGCTCTAAACATTAAAATAATTATTTCATTTTCTCTTCCTCACTTCTGATTACCTTCAATGGTGTCTGTTGCAACCACCAGGTACAAAAACTAACTTGTTTTTATTTGACTATTTTTCTGTCCTGTCTGTTTATTATCTTCCTGCATCTCCTCTCAATCCTAAAGAAAAACTGCTACCTGGGTTCATATATATTCACCTTATGAGTTACCTTTTAACTGCAGTTCTAAAAGATCTACGACCGCAAAAACAGCGGAGTGCTCGCTGATTGGCGGCCGCATCAGTGATCGGTGCGTCACCGGAGGACAAGGTGATGAGCCCCGCTCCACAGCAGCGAAACGCATCAGGCGCAAATAAAAGACAGAATACATTAAAGGAAATGAGCCGACATGAACGATCGCGTGTTAAATTAGTTTTTGAGGTGGCGACACCTGATTTGATAATGTTACTGTGGCCGTGCTCAGGACGCAGATGTCTGAAACGCGTCAACTATCAGAGCTTTGCATGCGCAAGCTGGTTAAGATTAGGATGGGGGAGAGGGGAATGTTAAATTGCAAGAGAGAAAAGGTCACAATTTGGTTAAATGTCCGTTTTACGGCGGGTGTCAGTACCGACGCTGTGGCACAGCGCGTTGCCTCCCGATGCGCTGGAGCTTGTCACCTGCTGACAGCAGGCTGCTGTCTTTTCCGAGGGCAGCATCTTGCCGGTCATTATCACGTGACAGCGACTAGTCGATGACAGGCATAAAAAGTCACTATAGTGAAGTCGACTAGTTCATACAACCCCTATTGCTCCCCAGTGTTCTGCAGCATAATCAGCACGTTCTCTTTGATCTTGATATCAAATTTTCGCCTCCTCTTCGTCTCCGCACCTGCCAAATCGCGGTCTGTCACTGGCAAATCAAAAGTGAGACGGATGACACAACCGCCCCCCCTGTGGTACTTGCTTGTTACCACATTCCACCCGGCCACAATAAAATACCGGCCATTATTCACCTCCGCCGACTCCGACACCGGCCAAAATATGATACCCGGCCGTTAATTGAATACAGGCCAATATTAGAGGATTTATGGTAGGTACATTTTTGTATTAGTGATCTCAGATTGACTCGACTCAACTCAAGTCAGTAGTAAATGGACATCCAGTCATCATATTTTGAAAGTTTCATTCAAATCCTTCCAGAGGTTAAAAAACAAAAACAAAACATCATCAGCCTTTTGCCTTTTAAAGAGAGGAAATGTAAAACTTTTAAAGACAACCAGAAAATGTGGAGAAATATTCATTAAGACCTATAAAAAAATGACAAGAATGTCTGTCTAAGAAACTATAGGGATGGTTTAAACTTTATGCACAGTAGCTACTGTTAATGTTATGTAAGTTGGATAGTATTTGTAGTGTCAAAATTCCCTGACAGGAATGTGATGCTACAAAGGTTCTGTACATAGTTGAGATTGGGAAAGAGTTGTGTAGCAAGCCTCGATTTCATGATGAAACTGTGGAATTCACTGTGAAGAGTTCAACACACCAATAAAGAAACTATAACTGAAAATCATTTCCAAGAAGTACAAATTTGGATTAAAATCGACCATTTATTTTACTAATTATTATACTAGATACTATACAGATTGTTAAGCTACTACTGATTAGAGGCCGACCGATGTTTTTTTAAGGTCGATGTCGAGTTTCAAAGAATCTTGTTGCGGATGGCCGATATCTAAGTCGATATCTATACGTTATAGCAGCACGTTGACTGTGAAAGACAACTGAACATTCATTGTGTGGGATATAAATTAAATAAATCAATAAATCTCTTAATATTTATTGAACTTTCAATGTAAAACAAACTCAAAACATTTATAAAAAACGATGTGTTGGGGTCCTTCAGGCCCTTTCTTCAGTCTAGTAGTGGCAGCACAGCCACACAGGTGCCAGATAGTTGAATTTTTTTTTATTGGCTTTTAAAGATAATTTCGGCAAATGGCCAATACAGAAAAAATTTAATATATTGGCGCAATATATCTGCTGGTCGATATATCGGTCAGCCTCTACTACTGAATTGCCAGAAACCGCTGTATAAATGCACTGAAATGGCAGGAGGATTGCTGCAAAACTGCCTCGAAAAAATCCAGATGAATGTTTTATTTAAATTATTATCAATTTTTCAAAGGCTACGTAGTTGTTATTTTAGTGAATATGACAAAGTGTTGACTCACAGGTAAAATGAGAACTTTGTTCTAACTAACACAAAATGTGCTTTTTCTTCAGTTTTTTCTGTATTATGTCAGGTTTTTAGGTGTGCTTTATTATTGCTAAAAGAAACAAATCATTCTTTTTACATTAAATATTCCAACATGTCACTGCAGGCCAATCACATTGATTAAAAAACTCAACCTCAAGGAACCCCAGACTCTTGGGCAAGTTGTTTCACAAGTGTAACTCGGGAACTAGCTTTAACAGCACTTGTTTTGTGACTAATCAAATTTCCAGTGTACTGGAAGTTACACGTTTAAAACATTGTCCCAACATTTTGTACACTGTAACAAAATTAAAACAATCATACTCCAATGCCTGCAGTGAGACAGCAGAGCTGCACCAGTAGGTGCTGCGCTGCTGATCAGCAGTGTTATAAAATATAGGCGTGACTCTTCTGTTGACTCTTGAAAGAAATGTTACATATGTGTGCACTTTAAATTAAAGTAAAATTATATAGATTATTGTCTAATTAAAAATTAACAGGCTAATAATTTTGTTCAAGTATTTTCCTTTTCTGCTATTTAACATTGATCATTATTTTATAGCATTATTTTCCATCTTAACATTTATGGGGTGTGATTTAGCTAACCAAAACTTCTCAATACAGTGAAAACAAAATTACTGTTGAATGAGTGGCTTTTGAAAAATGAAAGAGTGGTACAAATGGCGTACATCGTACTTTGAAAAACATCTTTATGATCTCCAAGACTTTTGGCATAAACTGATTTAATAAAAGTGGGACCTTCTGAAAAATGTGTGCCTCATCACATAAAACCAACACTGAAGTTCAGAAACAGATCAAACAGTCAAACACGGTGGTGGTAGTGTGATGGTTTGGGGCAGGTTTGCTGCTTTAGGACGTCAACACTGCCAGTCTCGCAGGATGAGAAAGAAGAAAATAGAAACAAAAAAAATATTAAAAAAACACACAAAAATTACAGTAACAATCATACAAGCTATAAGTGCTGTGTTGAATCTGCAATTAATTGTAATTTAAAATTGTTATTTCATACATTTACCATGACCAAATTGTCTTGTGACGTATTTCCTGTTCCGATCAGGCGCAGCAATCTCTACGCTAACTGGCGCATGCACACTGGATCCCGCCTTCCAACACAAAGAATAGGAGAGCCTTTTGGCGTAGAGGTTTGTGACCGAAACTAAGTGGAGTCTCAGCTCAGGAGCTGGTTCACCCAGAACCGGAAGCTCTCCACAATTACCGGCTCCTCTTTTTTTTTTTTAGCTCACTGTTCTTTGTTTTAGAGCAGCTGAGTACACCTCGTGGAGCTTTTTATTATGAAAAATAAAAAAGGATGGAATGTGATGTCTGAAACTTATAAATGCAAGGAATATATAAATATTTAATATATGTGTATTTAGTTATTTTCAGCTTTTTTATTTAGCCTCATTGTGGAGGCAGAAAACGTGGATTCTATCATAAGAAAGATCATTTTTGCATCCCCTAGTGGTGATATGTGGTTAAACATCTACAGATATCTAACATCTACAGATGGCATAAATACGGCTCACCAAAAAAATAATTAAACAACCACCACTGCTAAAGAGGCTTAATTTAGGTTTACACTTAGTACATTTGATTTTAGGTTAACCACTTTGATAATAACTCAGACACAAGTTATAGCTGGTGTTTACTAGGGCCAATCATTTTTTTGAGTGTAATAAATAAAATAACAACATAAAAAACTGAAAAACATATTTGTAGTGTCCGTTGTTGGTATTTGTTTGCTGGTCTGAAACACAGGGCAAAAACAGATGAAGAGGCTGTGTCTGTTTCACAGCACTGTATTAATTGGAGTGCGAAGTGAAAGAAAGCATGTAAAGGTTTTAAGATTGCCAATAAAAAAATTCTGACCTTTGACCAAATTTGGTCAATGACTCCACTTTGTCTAGCAACCTGACAGAACCAGATCAACTCACTGTAGAGGTCAAAGATCAGGATTGTCCTTTAGAGGAAGGATAATGGAGTGGCCTGCAGTGAGGACATCAAACGGTTAAACGAATCAAAGTCAAACAAGGGGACTTGTCTTGATGTCTGCACAACGTCCTCATATCACCAGACCTGCTCATTACCTAATGTGATGTAACCTGCTGCTGTGTGACAACTTCTGCCGAGCGATCTTTATGCCACGATCTGCCACCTCAGACGTAAATAGCAACGGCGTAATTAACGGACACATTTTCACACACTAAGGCTTCTAATTTTAAACACTGGGCGCTATTCCCGGTTACCGCTTAAAGTCAACTGTGCAGCTGCCCGGAGTCAAGTCAGCCGGGAACATTAGATAACAAGTCCAAGAATTACAGGAAACATACCAAAGTGTAGCATCACACAAACGGAATAACCGGGAATAAGTCAGAACGAAAGGCCTACCGTTGGTGGAGAAGGGTACGGGAGCGGGGACGGCTTGCTAGCTGCCAGACTCCGGTAACCGCATCCCAGTGACGCGGTGGACTCCCGCTGCAGCGCAGAGGGTATCCCCATTTAAAGCCACTTTCGTCAAATCTACCGGTGAAAAAAATAACTTCCGCCGGAAGTAGTCGAAATAAAAGCATCTCTCGTCTTTCAGCAAGAAAACATTAGGAAAACTTCGAGCTTTGTCCTTGCATCGTTCAATATTAAAATCCCGTTAGGTAAATAACAAAAAATGTGTTCCCAAAATGAGAATGCAAAGACAGAAACATGTTGCAAAATATTTTTTTATGAATGACCTTTTATTTTGTAGCTTTCGCAACGTGCCTGCTCCCAGAGATCCCATAAATTTATAGATTTCAGATTCCATCACAGGGAACAGCATGTTCAGATGTCTGATTCAACTGTTCCATGCTTTACACGTATAATGTCTTGTTATAGTAATTATTAATCTAAAACATCTTTGGTGAATCCTGAAGTTGGCCCCCTTTTAATATCCTAAATTTTGAACCCAATAACATTCAGACCACAGCCCCTTGTTTCTTCTATGAGCATGACCTTCAGAAATGTGAAATTATGAAGGGACTTGTTTAAATGAAACGTGGGGAAACACGTTTTACAATAAAAAATGATGAGAAACTCCACTTTGTACTGAAACACTGCAAAAGCGAACTTAATTCTTTTGCAAAAGCAAATAGTGATAGACCAGAATGTACAATTCACATGTTTATTAACTCTTATTAGAATGTAATAGAAATTGTAACATATTTTGTGATTTTGTCTAATCACAAGTATTTTATTAATGGAAACTATTATCTTCAGGCATGGTTAATATTGCTATTAGATTAGTAAAGTTTGAAATCTACCTTCATTGTATAATAATCTGCAATGTTTTGCTTTGATAAAAAAAAGTTGGAACTATATTAAACATAAATTGTGACTTAAAGCATCAACAACTATAAATATCTCCTGATTCTGCAGGTTGAACAAATGCTGAGTGAAGACTGGGACAAACTCTAACACAACACCGTCTCAGAACTCAGCCTCAGCTGGCCTTGGGACGCTCAACAATTCATTTGCGACAAATGGATTTAGGATTTATTGCAGACTTACAGACATAGCACAAGTTGGGTTTTGGTGAATGATTATGAGCAGCAGATGTTTTAGAGCACTTCTTGAACAATATCAGTTTGGAAAAGATTAGCTGTGCTCGGATTGACAAGTTAATAGCTAGTCACATTGGGACATGTACTAAAGTGGATATATGACACCTTAAAACAATTTTAATCCCAAAAACTTAAATCCGGATCATAGCAGATATGGGAATTATTAGATCACGAGGAATTAAAATGTGTTTGCAATCAGCCATAAAAGAGCAACACTAGATTAATTACATGCCTTTTTTTCCCCCACTGCTCAGTAGGCCTACCCAAACAGATCAAAGTCTTCCAGGAAATTTTATTGGGCCTAAATGCTTCTTTGCTTGTTAATGTAAAGAAATAATAATCAACAATAAATAATCAACAAAATCCCACATTACTCATCCACAATCATGAGGCAGGCATGAGGATGAAACCACAAGGGTTGGTCTCTTGGACCAAGAGGAAGCTGACTCAGAGGTGGCTAAACCGAAGATGGAGAAACGGGATTGTGGGTCTGATTCTCCCAAGCACACACAAACACACAGATGTACAGCATAAGATTTGCAATTTTAAAATGAATTAGCTAAAAATAATTCATTTGTGTTTCAGGAAATTATTCCACTACATAGTTTAATACCAAAAACTGAGGCCATTTGAAACACTGCACATTAGTATTACATGGTGCCCCCTGCTGGTGCATTCATGTAACTGCACCTTTGGACGTTTGACATGTAAAGATGAGGTTCAGGTTCACTGTAAGTCAAGCTGTTCTAATAAAAATGAGAGGAAATAAAGAGAATCTAACAGCAGATTTAATTGATTAATTAATTATTTAATTTATTAATCTTTAGTGAATGGCTTCAATTACTAGTGCATTTCAATAGGGATTTTATAAATGTTTATTCACAGCTGATAAAACTGCTTCCTAATAAAACATGTTGGAAATAGAGAATTGTTTTAAATATAGCACCTCTACAGTACACATAAACCATCGGGTGCTTCACAAGAAGAAGAAAAAAATACATTTTTAAATGATTAAAACAGTAAAAATAAAACTGAATAAAAAGAATGTGAAAAATACTTTAATTGTCAAAAAAATACAAGACTATGGAAATGTTAATCTTTCTTATAAAAATGCATGGGTACAGAACATACAGAGTTTTCAGGGGGGAGGACAGAGTCAGTATCATATATTGCTACTGGGGTGAACTCGTTAGGTAAAGTTTAACAGGTCAGGTTCTGTTCCGATCTGTAGTCCAGAAGTAATGTCATTTTGTCTCCAAACTCCACGGCCCTCTGGGCATTTTTCAGCAGGGATGGTTTCCTGTAAAAAACATTCAGTTTGTACAGAAGCAACATCTTCAGAGACTGGTTTGGACTGTGAGAAAGCATGACAGAAAACTGATGTATTCATGCAACGGTGGTGAGTATTTTAGATTTAAAGATTAACTTCATTACATTGCTCCTGGATTCTGCAAATGCCCCAGTGGCCATTAAATCAGGTGTGTTGAAGCAGAGAAACATCTCAAACATGCAGGACAGTGGACCAGAATCTGACCCCTTTGACCCCCAGCAGGTCCCTGAGGTCCAGTGATCAAAGCCTAGTGGTTGTGCAGCACCAGGCTAAAGACCAAAGGTGACAGATCATTTGCTGCTGTGGCCCCCAGACTCTGGAACTCTCTCCCCCTGAGCCTGAGATCAGTGGACTCAGTGGTCTCCTTTAAAAAGCAGCTGAAGACTCATTTGTTCAAGCTGGCTTTTGTATGACCTTCTTCACCACTCTCTCTCTTTATTCTGCTCTCCCCACCTATTCCACCTTCCTCAGGATCCACTGATTTCCCTCTTTCCTGTTCACTCTCTCTCCTTCTTAACATTTTTTAATCACAAGTGTCTATTTTTGCTCATTTAAATATATTTTTAAACATTTTCTAAATGCTTTTGTTATATTTTTACATTTTTTGTTTTTGTGAAGCGCCTCGTGATTTTTATCTTGAGAGGCGCTATAGAAATTATATTTTCTTCTTCTTCTTCTTCTCTTTAACCTTAGCCTGACGAGGTGTTGAGCCCATCTTTCTTTCCTTATTACAGCTCTCTGAATTCTCCTTTTGTCTAATGTTCCCATGGACAGGCAAGCCATCCTATAAATGTAAATATGTGCAAATCTTCAGCTACTGCAAAGGTTTGTCCAGACTTATAGGCTAATATTCTCATGCACTCTAGGTACAAAGACCTAAAAGGTGAACCCAATAAGAGTTGCAAAAATGCTCCAGTTCCAGCTCAAATCCACAACAGATTTTACTTCATACAGTAAAAGACAATGAAACTTGGCCAAACACACTTAGAGCAGCCAAAGGAACCAAATGACACAAATGTAAACAACATAAAACATTATCTGTGGACCTTCACTCGGAAATCAAAACAACATGAGCAATGGAGCCGCTCCAGGAGAGAGACAGAAAGCAGGGCTGGGGCGGTGGGGAAAGGAATGTGGGGGCTAGGCGGCTGTGGACAGCGGAAACGGTCTTGACAACAGCGTTAAGTTACTGCAACAGCTGGACAAAACATCTGTCCCAGCGAGCCAGGGCTAGGTTACATGGTAAAAGAAGTACACCTACAGAAAAGGGCTTATTTAAACCATCATCACTTTAGATTTAGTGAAAAGACAGAAGAACCAGAAAGCAGCTAAATCAAATGTTTCTGCTAGTTTTCAGCTTAAACTTCAGTTCAGCATGATTCACTTTGGAAGGAAAGCCAGAGGATGACTGCCAAGAAAGAAAATCCCTGATTGTTCTTAAGGGGTGTTCTCAATGGAAATAGAGATCTGGCTTTAATTTTGGCACACATAAGTGAGTTCGTCACACGACAGTAACACGATGAGGCGTTTCAGTCTGAGCATTAGTGCATATTTGATTGGAATCGCCTTCAACTTGAAAAATAAATAAAAGCTTGTTTTGTTGACATGATGATTATTATAACGTGGTCTGTCTTGTTTCTCTTGCAATTACCAATCCTATAGGCGTTTGTGTTCAGCTGATCACAAATCAAAATAAAATAAATCTTTCCTTTGTTTGCGTTGAAGCTGTTAAATTAAAACTGGCCCCCCAGACCCACTCGTATTACAATAAATGATTCACCACATAATGGTGCATCAGAAAAATCATTCTTTATTTCAAAATACAAAGTGTTCCTAACAAGACTCTGCACTATTGACATATTGCACAACAAAACATCAGGCATCTGAATACTGACAAAAATCACTGAATTCATGGCAACTTGCTTCTTTTTCTGACTGTAAAACTGGACTGAAATGTTGCTGAAAACACCTTTCACATTAACTCAATCCTGCTCTGCCTTAACTTCCTCTGCAGGCTCCTCTTTCTTCTCGTTGATGGCAGCTTCGTTTTTTTCCACGGCGTCTGCGTTGGACTTTGGCTTCTCTTCCCTCTTTTTTGGTTCTGGAAGGAGAATGACTTTCCCGATGTTTTGGCGTTCATGCATGCGCTTCATGGCTTCAGCCACCTGGGGAGTAAACAAACAGACTGTAATTTGAACACACTGAAACAAAAAAAAAACTTTTTTATTTGTAAAACAAAAAATAAATGGGGCTCAATTCAGTAAAAAGCTAAACATAATATTAAAAGTGTTTATCTACAGCAACAGTTACTAGTGCCTCTCTGTTGAAGAGATACATTTCCACTTGTACAGGAATGCGATATGGGGGAGCAAAAAAATCCAGAGGACCATAATTAGCCCCGGGCCACACTTTGATGTTCCTGCCCTGATGATTTGTAAGGAAAATGTTGAGGAGCACCAATAAAAGAAGTGTTAAAGGTTCATGAAATAAGAATGACCTCCTGTGGTCAAATATAGGTACTGCAGTCCACTTTTCAAAACAAACCAGTGGACTTTTCATGAGTTTCATGACAGTTTCCAGTTAATAGGTACATACATTTCACAGTAAGTTTGAATTATTGGTAATTGAATAAGTAGCTTGAGATTTTTTTTGCTTCTATTTCACCGTTAGCATTGTTAGCTCAATGTTAGCCTCTAGAGTTCCTCACAAAATTTACAGTAAAACAAAAAGATGTTGTAGCTTTTTAAGGATACAATAAATAACTTCTGGGTCTTCTGGGTTCTTTCCACAACTCTGGAACTTCTTATCAAATTACCAATGCCAGAGCAGACTTGGCAACCCCGTGGGCTCATATACTGTAAACAATAACTACCTTCATATTTAGCCTTTTGAAAAGGAGAAAAACTGGCAACCCCCCTGCCGGCAGAGAAGGAAATCTGTTTTAATGTAACCTTTCTTCCAAAATGACTGAGGCGTTAGACTGTTTTTAGATTATTTCACTGTAACAATCCTATTTATTGTAACTTTAACATAAAGTAGTTAACTCATCTTGTTTACACAACTAGTTTCTTTATCTAACCACCCTTAAAATAGTAAATAAATACTGTTAAACTGAGTGGATCTTAATGGAAATATGTTTATGTTTATTCATTTAGCAGACACTTTATCCAAAGCGATTTACAATTTATAACCTATAGGGCATGTTGTGATCTGTGGGGGAAACCGGAGTAGCCGGAGGAAACCCACGCATGCATGGGGAGAACACGCAACTCCACGCAGAAAGGCTGCAGCCGAGTTTCGATCCTGCAACCTTCGTGCTGCGAGGCAACAGTGCTAACCACTGCACCACCATGCAGCCCATACTATTGAAAATACTGTTTATCCATTTATCATCTATTTTATCTTTTCTGGACTTCTGAAATTCATTGTTTGCATTCTGCTTGCCAAAGTCTGTCTAAATATTAAAGCTAGTAAATTCAAATGAGCAAAGGTTTTCCAACCTGTATTAGTGTCATGGCAACAATTTAGACTGTAACCTAGCAACAAATGTTGAAGGGCAACTGATCTGACAAGGGGCGAGGTTCCCTTGTTTGCCGTTTCATATGATTGATAAAAAATGGAAGAATTCATAAACAGAATAGAATATATACATATACACACACATATACATAGCAGTTAGCAGTATTGTTTAGCCTAGCGTCAGTACCATAATTCACAGGCAACGAGTGGTTTAAGCTCTGGATCTGCCAGCAAATAAAATAATAATAAAAATTAATCATAATAAAAATAATGTGATACAACATTCAGATTCTAGCTTCATCTGAAAAATTTTAACTCAAAGCAAAATGAAAAAGAGGAGATCTGTGGACAGAAAGTGACTCAGTGAGCTTCAAGCTGGAGCGATTTTATAACACGCTGCAGGGAAAATGATTAACACATCTCTGTCAAGCATTTTCAGTCTTTTGTAGTGTCATGGTTTCATAAACAGTATTGATCTTGTCTTTAGCAGTGTGTCCGGAAGCTCCACATTTAAAAAGCCTTTTCTAAGAGATGCTGATCAGATTTGGTGAAGCTTGGAAGAAAGAGATCGGAGCACTGAATAATAATAGCAACCGTATACGTTGTTTCTCTTTTTTTCATGACAATCAGTAAGCTACCGTTGCTTCAACCATTCAGTCAACTAATGACGAAACTGACCTCCTCAAAGTGATAGCAGGAGTCGATGCGTGGTTTGATCTTTCCCTGCTTGTAGAGCTCCAGCAGCTTAAAAATCGTCCCATCAAACAGCTCCTCGTCATCGATGTAGCCCAGATGGAAGCCGGAGATGGCCTTGTTGGTCTGCATCAGTTTCAGGGTGTTGAGAGACAGTTGGTTGTACCAGGTCTTTGCCATGGCCAGCAGGTTCTTTTTCTGACCTGTCACACAGTTAGCTGCACCTGGACAGCAGAACGTTTTCACAAGCCAACTGTTATCATTTGGTTGGCCGTTTTTTGCTGAATTAGAACTCTTACTACATGTGCATGCTTTATTTCTTTGTGACATGGCCTCAGCTGGGTTCAATTCTGTGATTAAAGATAATAAATTCTGTCTGTGACTTTATGAGCGCACAGCAGACTCCATGTTGGTCCCAAACCAATCGTATGACTAGCAAAGGCCCATCAGGAGGACTGATTAACAATTTAGATAAAGAACAGTTCTGTTTGTAATCATGCTTGTAAGCATATAAAATGAAAGCAGTCTAGTTTAATGCATGCTTCTATTTCCAGGGTCTTACCAAAGGCTATAATCATGCCCAGAGGTTTGAGCAAACCAAAGCCTTTTTGGGTGTCAGAACCACCAAGTGGGTCCAGGACTATATCAACTCCTGCAGAGAGAAGAATAAAACAGCAATCAGGGAGGCAGAAGTAAAAAAAAGGAGTTAAAAACGAGTGAATTATCAGATGTATCACCCTTTGGGCTGTTTTTCCGGATTTCAGTCACGTAGTCTTTGGTGCGGTAGTCAATGGGGTGAGTTACCCCTCCCTGGCTGATCGTCTCGTGTTTTGAAGCCGATGCAGTGCCAAAGACAGTCACATCCTGCACAGTCTGACACAACTGGGTAGCAGCAATACCCACACCACCTACAGATGTGCACACAGCAGCAGAAGATGAGACAGCGCTCACAGCACAGGAGCATTTCACCCTGTGTGTGGTCTGAAACTGTTGTGGTTTGAAAAGCACCAAGTCTCTGAACCATCTAGACTTAGTCAAGCGTTCTTTAGTGATCACCTGAAAAATAATCGCTCAAAGCTTGAATGAACTAGTGCTTCAACGATACAAACCAGGCAATAATAAACAGGTTCGTGTTGGTAAAGAATACACAGTTTATTGGGAAATGGGATTTTACTACAGCTACATTTTAGAAGGGGGATAAACAAAAGCATAAATAAAAGCCAGCTCTCTGGTTTCTGTGGTGCTGTATAACTCAGAGGGTCTGGGTGTGTTCAGGCTCACAACTTATTCCTCCTGTCTTCTTTTTCCACTTTGGTTTCTTGTGGTTGATTTATACAGGTCAGCTGACAAACATCTACCTGCTCACTGCAGACTAGTGGCCTTCTATGGGGCCGATGAAGGTCATGAGGAGGCTGGGATGTTGACAGAAACAGGCTTTCATGCTGTTTATTACTTCATATACTGAAAATTGATCGTTCACTAAAATCACTATTATTTAACACAGTTAGAGTTTCTTCTTCAGACAAAAACATACCACACTGTGGCTCGTTGCAAATAAATGCTACAAGCTGTACCCAGAGTACTTAACAAGTTCATTTTACTGGTTTCCTAACACTATCTAGTTATAAATTTAGAATAAATCCTTTCCAAACATGTTACTTTTATCACTAGACCTTAAAACACAGTTTTTACATTAGTATTTCAGAAATTTAATGGCTAAACTATCCAGAGTTCAAATTTTAAAGAGATTTAAGGAGATGGCATAAGTGGGTGGTAAAGTTGAGCGTTCTTAATAAAACAGAGAAAAGCTGCTACGGTAGCCCTGTAGTCCAATCAAGAAAAGTGCTTTGTTTACCCAATAAAATACTGCAAACATTTAGTTTAAAGACCAAGGTCACAGAGAAACCGTTATTTACTTTTTTGCATGATCGGTCACTCTTGGTTTTGCATGCAGCCTGAATGCAAAAATGTTCTTCTACCCCTATTTTCTGGATTAGCTACAAAACAGAAATCAGACGGGGAAACGCTCATATCAGAAAAGCCTGACAGATCTACATCACATTGATTAGCATTCACAGACCCAGTGGCGGACTGGTAATCAGGAGAAACAGGTAACTTTCCGGTGGCCTGGCCGTTAATCTGGCCTGCTCAGTGATTGCCGACAATCACGATCTGCATAATATCTAAATGAACAATCCGTCATGCAGCTCATCAGGGCATCTGCTCTGACGCTCACACAAACAGAGTTAACTGGACACAAATCCCCCCCCCCCCCCATCTTTAGGGTCTGGCAAAGCGCTGTAGACACCCCCCACCCCCCAGTGGCCACAGATGCATGTTCAGTCTGGCCTAGTGTGATCATGTTAGGAGAACCGGTTTAAAGTGGAGTTTATGGGCCAGTTGAGTTATCACTCAGTGGGCAATGCTGGGTGTGTTGGGGAGGGAGACACAACGGCTGTCAGGAACTGATCATGATGGTCGGTCAGATTTTCAGATTTATACCATTTTTAGGGTAGAGAGCAGTGCTTTGGACCGGTACCAGTACCACTTCTTATTACAACCATTCAGTATACCAGCACTTTTGTCAAGGGTACAGTGCAGTACCGGTAAAGTCTCCGAGTATTCATCAGTCCAAATCTCAGAGATTTCTGTCCTCAAACACCAGTCACCCACAGTCTGGCATGCCCTCCATGAAGGGCTGCACTTTGCACAAAAGGTGCATCATTGCCGTGTGGCGCACATGTACATAGACGTATGTACAGTCTATGGGCGCACTGCGCGTCACCATCAGCTCAGGAAGAGGAGAGAAAAAAGAGAAGTTTTCCGACACAGTGCTCATTCCCGCAGCAGCTACTGACCAACCAGTGGTTAAATGCTGCGACAGGCAGATAGATGGAGGAGCAGAGACAAATGGAAATATAGATTGTGCGCAAACACAAAAAAAGGTCAAAACAGGAGTGTGCTTCACTTGGAAGTGAACTTTCTTTGTAGTCATAAGCTGCTGATCATGAAAAAGAAGAGATGATAATTCTGACTGGATGTGGACTGGAGATTGATTTTACAGCAGCCCTGATGATCATTTATGAAGTTTCTTGTTAAATGCATAAACCTCCACCTCTGGTTTATATTTGGTTCACAGTCTTTCAGTGCATAGTATTACTATTACTACTGTTATTTTCATAAATAAGAGAGAGCTAGCTGAGCTCGTCAAAGTAGCTACTCAACTACCATTTTAACATGTACTGTTTAACCATGACATTTAAATGTAATAGGGTAAAACCCAGTGCATTTAACATAATGCTGCACTTTAGAAAATGGGTTGAAATATAACATGTTGGTGGAGCTGGGTTCCGATTATCAGTATGGTCTCCCTCCCCTCAGCGGCAGCTCAGTGCATCTCTGACTCAGAAGCTCCGGTGATGTATACAGTTAGCTCCGGTTGTAGCTAGGTAGCTACCTCTGTTGGCTTAGCTCCCACCTCCGCGTTAGCTTTGGGTTAGCTTGTAGCTACATCGCTTCAGTTCGACGGGTGTTGTCATTTGATCCCAGCCTTACAGCCCCACCCTCAACTCCACCTCTTTTCCCTTTTATGGAATGGTATGGGCGTGACAAGACATGTGACACAATCAAAATGGCGGTGGTGGCCACCTCCCATTTTAGATTAAAAACTTATAATACGAGCCTATGGACCATAGGCGTCATTTTAACCGGGGACGCCGGGGACATGTCCCCGGCAAAATTTGTGATTGGCAGCTGTGTCCCCCCCCCCCCCCCCCCACTTTCAAAAACGCCTGCTGATGAGGATTTTTGTTTTACCAGCTCAGATCTTATCCAGGGGTCGGCAACCTATTCCCATCAAAGAGCCATTATTACCCGTTTCCCACAGTAATTCTGGACGGACCTTAATAAGCATTGACTTAAGTGAAGCAGGCAGGTCGCGCTAGAAAATTTTGTTAAAAAGACATCATAAATGTTTTCCCCCGTCATTTTTATTTATAAAATATGAAGTAAAAACTCACAATTTAATTTTCATTCATTTGTCATTAATATGTAGTCTACACCCGTGCGTTAAGTGGACCATCTTCCAGTAAACGCACAGCATCCAGCCCATCTCTCCAAATGCGTAAAATGTGCATCAGCCGCTAGTTAGGCGCACCATCAGCTGATCAGCCCAGACAAGAGTAGAGAAAATAGAGAAAGAATAGAGGATGATTCTGTCTGGATGTGGATGGAGATTACATTTTACAGCAGCCTGATCATCATTTAAATACGTAAACCATCACCTGTCTTCTAGTCCATGCTATCAGCATATATTTTAATTGGTGTGCGTGTGTGTGTGTGTGTGTTTTCCACTTCAAACACTGGTCTAACCAACCAGACCAGCGTGTCCACTAACGTATTAATGTTACAATTAAACAGTTTCCCTTCATGTAGGCTAGGAACATTCCACCTGCCGTGGCCCGACCGCTTCTGCTCCACACGAACTTTGTGCGTGATCAAATGTCTCTACGCATCATGCGTCTCCATATTAGAGACGGGAACAAGCGCTGTTCAGCCAGTTTCATAATTTCATAAAAAGAACATTTTTCCAAGTGACACATCCCTCAGAGAGACCGGGTTTCCAGACCGCTTCAGTGGGAGGAAATCATTGCATATACCATGGTTCTGCGCTGCGCTGCGAACCCCTCAGATCTTCAGCTCACTGTCCACCATGGGCGCTCCGAGCCACGCTGAACACGGTGTCCAGTATAAAGCTCTGATGTTCTGATGGGAATCTTTTACCTCCGCGATGTGCGTTAACGATTAAAATGTCAGCTCATCCATGTGCATCAGTGTGCGTGGGGGTAATTCTTTCAAACCAAGCAACATCCTTGAGTTCATCTGTCAAAATAAACAGTCAAATGGAAATATATGTAACCTGCCGTTTAACTGTTTTGCCTTCTTGTGAAGATTGTTGCAAAGAACAAACTTGATTAACCCCAGAGCCACCCAGAGCGCATGTGGGAAGGTTCCTCCCACTGAAGCGAGTGTTTTCCAAACCCGGTCTCTCAGAGAGACTTGTCACTTAGAAAATGTTCCCTGATGATGAAACTTTGGCTGAATAGCGCTTGTTCCTGGCTCCAATGTGGCGACACATCCAGGAGCCTGTCTGAGGAGAATCCCAGAATCTCACATCCTCTTCAGCTCATAAAGCGCCTATACGATTACGCACAAGCGTGACGCGTCAACCCGGTCTCACAGTAAGACCGGGTTGGACCTGTTCAGGTTTACGCAGACAATCTTTACATTTAGAATTGGCATACAGATGTAAAATTAATGCAGTAAAATATAAAGCATTTTATTTAAATATCCATTCATTATTTTACAAACACAGAGCCGCATCAGATGGATGGAAGAGCCGCATGCGGCTCCAGAGCCGCCGACCCCTGTGCTAGCCTAATTTATTGTCCCCAGCAATTTTTAAACCCCACTCAAGTGTATGGTTATTGTCCCCAGCAATTCTGGAAACAAACTGACGCCCTTGCTATGGACAGGCTATATATGTACATATATGTCGATGGGACCCACCCATCTTGGCTCGCAATGGGGAAGGCTGTTTTTGACTTTGCGTCCAGGAGAGAAAAGAAAGCATCTTGGCTAGTAGAAGCTAACCAATAGCATTAGCAACTCCACCATGTGGCTTGAGTTATTTCTGGAGATAAAACGACTTAGCAAAGCAAACAGAGTCAGTGGCAGAGTAGCGTTGCTGCTGGCCAGTCAGAGGCAAGATGTCTGAATATCAGGAAACAAGATCCCAAATCCTGCCGTCTTCTGCTCACCTCTGCTCTGGCTTCCAGTTCCTGAAACTCAGTGGTGGGCAGTCAGGGCCAGCAAAGCCTTCTCTGCTGGCCTAAACTTACTCAAAAACGTAAATGTATTTTTTTTTTCCTTTGGTAAATATTTTTAAATAAAAAAAAATGTTCACTGGTCTATTTTCTTTATATCCTATTATACCCACTTGGCTGTGCTGCTTCCAGTGTTAAAATACCAAGGCTGGGTCTTATCCAATCAGATTTAAGCTAGTTTGTGTTTTCAGGCAGATTAAGTCTGCCCTAGGCCTTCAGAATCAATCGAGAAGCCCGCTGTCCGCTGTAAGTGAACAGAGACTATCTAGTTGCGATAGCCAATCAGCTCACGAGTCAGCGTGGCTCAGGCCAGCTAGCTGGCCTCACGCAAGAGTTGACATGAACGCATCCTGTGATTGGATAAGCAGTAGTTAGAACTTTTCTAGCGGCATGAAGCAAAATATCAAAACTAAACACGGAGATTTGTACCTATAGGCAGCTATCGGTGTATTTTTGAACACATGATGGCTGAAAGAGGAGAAGGGACGGACTTGGTTGCAGATTAACTTGCCACACCATTTTCCAGACGGACCTTTCAAGAAAAAATGGATCTTGTGAGAACAGGTCGTCTGACTCCAATGCTAGCTGGCTTGTCCCAGCAGGGGAAAGGATTTGTTCGTCATTTTCAGGCAAGCAACTATGAACGGTACCCATGGCTAACAGCTTCAGAGAACCGCTGCAGGTTATTCTGCTGGGAACGCCTGTTGCACGCATCAGATGGATTTGGTAGCATTAAAGCGCGTTAAAACGTACGCCAGAAACACGACCGGGCAGACACGTCTTTCAGCATTAGCCTCCATGTCCGTAGAAAAGGATCCACTCATGGACCTGAAGCGCACAGATAAACTGTACAGAGCCATTGAGGTATTCCTGAGGAAAGAAAGAAGGATGGATTTTATTTTCAAATGAGCTTGAGAGGAGGAGATCCATGCTGGACATTTATGTTGGTGAGTAGAAAGTATTTTTTAATGTTTTGTCATTTCATTTTGTTAATAATAAATGGTAACGAAATAAAATGTCTAAATGAAATTATTCTGTGTTCTGTTTCTATGCAATTTATATTGTGTATAACGTGGTGTGCGCAGCTGCGCCAACATGTTCAATTGTTTCGCAATCGCGGTGCAATTTTCTCCAAAACAAATGCAAATAATGTGTTTGCTTTACTTATTTATTTTTTTGTCTCATCTCTTAAACCCGTCTTTCATTTTTGAGATTTGACGGTATCCGTGGTCTTAGCTTCCTACTCTCAATTGGGAATGCGAGTTTGATTTTAAAGGCTCCGGAAATGACGTCTTGCCCAGCCACTGGTGTGTGTGTGTGTGTGTGTGTGTGTGTGTGTGCGTGTGTGTGTGTGTGAGAGGTTTCTCCAGCTGTGATGTCATATTGATGGTATTTTAAGGTGTGTTAATTTAGATTGGACTGAATAGGAAATCACTGAAGGCCCAGGGGTGGAATGCACCGCCCGCCACTGCTGAAACTCGAGCAACAGAGTTTTTCCCCCACAGAGATCGACTCACAAGGCATTCATTTATACTAGAGACCACTGCAAATGTGTTGAAAAATAAATGAGTGAATTTTGTCTTTAAGCCCAGTAGTTAGAAAAGTTTTCATGAATCAATTTTTCCAGTAAGAACTTTTATGCATGGGTCCTTGATTTAAATACCTCATCTCTTACCGCCTTTTGTTGGAAATCAGAAATGTCACATCATGTTATAAAGGTCATATAGTGTCCTGGCAGCCATGTCTGATAACCATTCAATTAAACATTTTTAAATAAGCTTCTATGAGAATCAAGTATGCATATGTCTACACACTCACACACACACACACACACACACACACACACGCACGCACGCACGCACGCGCGCACGCACGCACGAACGCGCGCACGCACGCACGCACGCACGCACGCACGCACACACACACACACACACACACACACACACACACACAGCTGAATCCACAGTTGTGATTAGAAACCTGAAGAGACTCTTCTCACTGTGTGTTTAATAAATAACTCACTGGCCCTAAATGTCATTTATCCACCTTTAGATGATTACTTTTAATGTTCTTTTCCATAATAATAAAACGACTGGTGAATGAAGCATAAATGATTTTTCACGTTAGCAGCATATTTACCAGAGATGGAATGTATTATTGTTTATTGCACACATATGTGGACATGAAAGCTGTGTACTCCTTCAGGATAACACTGGAATGCAAAACAAATTCTGATATATTTGTTTCTTACCAGCAGCCATGTGAATGAGAACACTTTTTCCTGGCCTGAGGTTGGCCATCTCAAACAGCATCATGTACGCTGTCATGTAATTAATGGGAAGAGCAGCAGCTTCTTCAAAACTCATCTCATCAGGCATGGGGTAGGTGCGCTTAGCCAGGACGACGACTAGCTCCTGCCACATGCCACAGCGGTCCATCGCGATAACCCGATCTCCCACCTAGGAGAGGCAACAGCAGGACAGAGATGTTGATGAAACACAGAAATAAACAGTGCATTTTCACTAACTAAATGAATAACAGTTACTTATTTTACCTTTCATCACAATAATAGAAACATTATATTTTGCAGAAATAAAATGAAAATCCAATTCATTTCCAGGCAGGGCAAGGAAATAACTGCAAACTCTTATTTTGTTAACATATGTTTTACTAATTAAGAATCTAAAGAGTTTAAATTGTTTTTGATTTGTTTACACTTAAACCTATTTGTTTCTGTTTTATCCATTTCTGTTTAAATGAGTTCAGACAAACGGAATCAAGCGGAACATTGTTTACACTTAGTGGGGTGTTTGATTCCCATAAAAGGTTTTGTTGTGAACATTTCCTATTTGAAGAAAAAAAGTCCAAAACAGGCAAGGACACAGGAAAAGTGTGATCTGATTATAAATGCTGCAGTGCTTCCTCTTTTATACAGCATGAGCATTTAAAGATGTAGGGCCACACCCACTTCCTGCTGCACACCACCAGTGATATTAGGCAGATCACACATGTACACATACACACACACACATGCATGCATGCAGGCACACACACACAGAAACGAACAAAAGCGCGCGCACACACACACACACACACACACACGCATGCATGCATACAGGCACACTCACGCACACACACACAAACGAACAAACGCACGCACCCACACACACACACACACACACATGCACACATACACACACACACACACACACACATGCATGCATGCAGGCACACACACACAGAAACGAACGAACGCGCACACGCACACACACGCATGCATGCATACAGGCACTCTCACGCACACACACACAAACGAACAAACGCACACACCCACACACATGCACATATACAATTCTAAAACTCAAACTTTTCTTGAGTTATTACATGCTCCACCTTTCACCTTGGATGACCTCATTTATCTTTAAAGAGCAAGTCACCCCCAAATCAACTTTTTTTTAACTGATAAACTATATAAATGCGTCTCTAATCATGCTGTAGACATGTGTAGTCAATAATTTGGCACTTTAGTGCATCTTAGTAAAAATTTAAATATTCTGCCCAAAACTGTCAGTGTTGCGCCGTTGTCAGGTGAAAACTCTGCACTGCATTTGAATTTAAATCTGCCATCGCTATTGGCTAGGAGGTACACCATGATGTTGGCTGGTACATTATGATGTCACAATGTTGTTGTGAGCCTGTGTGTGCGTATTTGTTAGCGGCTCCGCCCTCTCGGTCTGCCAGGCAACAGCATCTGTTGTATTTTTCAAACAGGGAGTGGGAGTGGAGCAAGACTCTGGTAGGGGTGACTTGCTCTTTAAGCTGATCTCACATTTCTCATCACTTGGACCCATGGCACATTTAAACTTCTGATGATCCCCAAAATGCACTACAATCAGTTTAAGAAAGGCTGAGGTCAGCTTATGGAGCAATGCTTGCTGTGTTTAAGCAGAGTGGTGGAAAAAGGCCTTGACACATAGCAGCATTTGGCACCATTTCTGCTTTTTTTGCACACAGATCAAATAAAACATTCAACAAACTTCTTCCAAAGTTGACTATCTTGCATTTATTATAGAGAAGGGTGGCTTTGCAATAAATTCAGAGTAAATGTTGGAGAATTTTTTTTAACCTTTATAAACAAAACGAGTCTTCTGACACAAATATTGATAATATAACATAATTAAAATGCATTAATAACAACCAATATGCAGTTCTATCCAGAGATGCACCCAAAAACATCTGCTGATGATTAGAATCTGCAAATATTCAGCATGACTGGTCTAAACTGTGATTGGTCAATCTAAAACTCAAAAACCTGATTTATTTTCTGCAAAGCGGCATTTAAAAAAAATCCTATATTTTTGGATTACCAAGAATTCATTTGCACTAGAAATTTTAGAAAGGTTTGCTTCCAGCTTTATTAAAGTTTGTGAGGTTTATTTCTGTTAATTATAGTTCTTTGAGCTAAAAACTTGGCCCTCAAAAGCAGAATCGTGTATCTCTTGTTTCAACCTTTTCTTAGAAAAAGAAGAAGTTTATTTAAAAAGCACTTTTTGCAGACAGAAGTCACAAAGTGCTTCACAAACAACTTGCACTACAACTTTATTTTATTGTCCCCCTGTAATAGCGGAGATAAACAGCACCTTTTTGCATTATTTTGTAGATTCAGTTGGATTTTTGGACATCGCTTGGTGTTTGACGACCCACAATGGCGACTCGACCCCAGTTGTGAGAACCACGAGTTAGAAGTCAGATATGGTTTTGTAGGCCATGCACACATGGAGGACAACATGCATGCTTACAGACTACACAAGCAAATGTTTTCATTCTGATGAGTGGGTAGAAAATACATAGCAGAGGGGAGTTGAAGCATTCAGACCGAGACAAAAACAGCTGTTTGGTTCCAAACAGGATTTCTAGTTTCAGTGCATTTTAATGTTTTGTTTTTTCCTAAATACCAGGTGCCACAGCATAAAAAAAATGTTGCTGCTCACATCCCCTTTTCTGTTTCTCTAGCTTCACCAGTAATAAAGAAATCCAACAGTCAGACTTCATCCTAAAACATAGATCTATGTCAAAGGTCATCGTGATGGACTGTTTTGTGAGGTTTCCGGAAACATCTGTTAAAGAATGATGTGGAATGCGGAATCTGAGAAGAAGAACAGCAAAAAGTGTTCCTGCAAACCACATCTAGTATGTCTGCTTCCCATGAAACAACCACACCCTGCAGTCCTTATCTGGAGAGGCCCTGCTCTGGTCCAGCTCTCTCCCTCCACTTTGGCATCCTTCTGTGTTATTGTCTGCAGCTATGCGCTCTTGCACTGAAGGCCCACCCAAATTCTTACACTAAACTACTTGCGACTGAGTCAGTTTTACACCAAATCTTCATGCATTTAGAAATTTCACACCACTTGTTGCATTGGTAATTTCAGAGGGGTTTAACACTAAAATGCATCGGACCCTCTTTAAGATTCCTGCTCTTTGAAAAAGGAAAAGAAAAGTAAGGAAGTGGGAATGAGAGGAAGAGTGCAAGTGGTCGAGTGGGAGGGAAATTCTTTGCTAACTCTGAGGATAAAGAGTAGCTTTGGTAGAACGTACATACACGTTAAGACGCCCAAACTGAGTTTATAGTGAAAAACGAAAGTTACTGATGAAATCTTCACAAGCCACGTCATGCCGAACCGAGCCCAACAAAAGTAAATGGTGTGATTTTTCAACATCTGAAACAGCTCGTCATGGAAACTGTCCATAATTTCTATCATGGATACAAATGATGCACAACAAACTGGGGCATGTTTAACCACTAGGAGGCGCTGTGTATTTGAGTAGTACATGTATAATAGGAACATATAAATACAAGTCAAGAGTCATAACTACTTTTAAATTGATAGAACCCCAAGGAAACGCAATCACACCCAACTCTACATAATCAATTATTTTTTTCTGTAGCTTAAAGTCTCACATTTCAGGAACACCAAAGTACCTAAATTTGGAGAAGCAGGTGGGAGTTTTGCTGTTTGCAGTAGTCAACTTCACCAATGTCTAAACAATTGTTGCACTCATCACTTCTATAAACAGCATAAATGAACTCCTGGTGTTTTATAAAAACAGTTATAGTCACATCCTGAGGAAGGCTCATAATGGAAATGCCAGCATATGCAAAGAGACCAGCAATTTCCCCAAAAGTTTCAATTTGGTATTTATAAATCTGAAATAATAATAAAGTAATGTAATAATTTAGTGGTAAGATTTACATGTAAAGGCCAAAAAATGAATTTACTGAATTTGAATATTAATTTAAAATGTGGAAATTTCCTTATGGGCCAACCAACTTATGGGTTCAGAGTACCCACCCTTTTTGGAGTTCCTGGGACGAGTGCTAGATAGTGCTCCATCAGGGGACTCCATTGTCCTGCTGGGGGACTTCAATGCTCACGTCGGCAATGACAGCTTGACCTGGAGGGGTGTGATTGGGAGGAACGGCCCGCCTGATCTGAACTCGAGTGGTGTTTCGTTATTGGACTTCTGTGCAAGCCGCAGTTTGGCCATAACGAACACCATGTTCGAACATAAGGATGACCATCTGTACACTTGGTACCAGGGCAGCCTAGGTCGCAGGTCGATGATAGACTTTGTAGTCGTATCCATCTGACCTGCGGCCGTATGTTTTGGACACCCGAGTGAAGAGAGGACCGGAGCTGTCAACTGATCACCACCTGGTGGTGAGTTGGATCAGATGGCAGGGGAAGATGCCGCGTAGACCTGGCAGACCCAAACGCATAGTGAGAGTCTGCTGGGAATGCCTGGCAGAAGAACCTGTCAAGACGGTCTTCAACTCCCACCTCCGGCAGAGCTTTGACCACGTCCCGAGAGCAGTGGGGACATCGACTCCGAGTGGGCCTTGTTCCACTCTGCGATTGTTGAGGTGGCTGTTGCTAGTTGTGGTTGCAAGGTGGCCGGTGCCAGTCGTGGTGACAACCCCCGTACCCGCTGGTGGACACACATGGCCTGAGCGGACACTATGGTTTTTACATCATCACCATTCAAGTGTCACCGTCTCTCTGGATAACCTTTTTCTACGTTTCACTGACAATAGATGATGTCACTAAACCTCTGAGCTGTCTGAATTTTTTTAATCTTACGAAGAAATAAAAATTCTCTTAAGTCCACAGCATTTGTTGGTAAAATATACATATTAAACATAAAAACAGACTTTCATTTTCACCTGCATTTTCTCTCATTTCTATTTCTCTAAAATCCCATCAGAGACTTTATAATTTAGCTCAAAATGTTCTCATTAAGGGTCTTTCTAGCTTATCAAATATTCAACGTTAAACACAGCTGAAGAGCTTTTTGCCTCTAAAAGCTCAAGACATGAATATGACTTTTCTCACAGCAACTTTTCGTTTGAGGCTAATTCTCATTCAACAATCCTGTCTCTGATTAACTTTACTGTCAGGCAGTGATAGACACAGGGCTATGGTTACCATGGTAACACTAATGATCTACTGCAGCAGACTTAACATTTCTTTACATTTTAGCTTTCCACACATGTCTATTAATCAAACTGTAGATATTTTATGTCAGCTTTTATTATTTTAACACTGATAATTCAAACAGAAGCAGCATCTGCACTTTTCAAAAGGCATTCAAATAAAACAAAGCACATTTTAAAACGTTATCTATTGTGTTTTAGGTGGGATGAAATACTAATTTGAGGTTTTCTTGAGTCTGTACTGACTTGAACAAACAACACGAATCTAAGTGGGCAGTAATTGATATTTTCCTTCTGCTGATGATGTGGGCTGCCCACCAGCCCTAGAAGCACTCTGTGAGAGTATGGAGGCACTCACTTTTCTGTCCTTCACATCATCCGCCACGGCTTCGATGACCCCGGAGCCCTCCATCCCCATGATGACGGGTGGGGCGGGCAGCAGGTCGTACAGCCCCTGTTTGCCCAGCAGCTCGGCGAAGTTCAGCCCACACGCCTTGACTCGGACCAGCACCTCTCCGGGCTTCAGCTGAGGCTTCTTCAAGGTCTTCACCTGCAGCTTGATTTTCTCGTAGCCTCCATATCCCGTCAGGACCAGAGCTCTGGAGGAGAGGGGCTTCTCCTCCTCGGTTGGAGTCGGGCTGCTGCTGCTCTCCGGCTCCAGCTGCGGTTCTGGGGCGGCAGGAGGAGGTTCGTCGGTCTTCTTCACCTGCTCGGGTTCCTGCTGTTGGGTTGGAGCCTCTTCACCAGACATCATGAGCACTTTCTAAAGATTTACAGTTCGGGTCAATACTTCCTCTATGTCCGGCTTTTTCTTTCGTTATTTGTTGTCTGAATAATCCCCCGAAAGAGAATAAAATAACCAACTAGCTGTAGTTATTTTACTTTTTTAGAAATATTTCTCACAGAGAAGATGCAAAGCCGACTCGTTTGCAAAACTGAGCATGTCTCTGATTTCCTGCGTGCGCTCCACTCAACCAGTGGTCACTAAACAATCACCATGCATCACAGCAACTAATTCCGGTGGGGATTTTCACAATAAAACGCAATAAGTATCTATCTATCCACCTGATCATGTAAGGCCGAATTCTGCAAACCCATTTATCTACCCAAGATAACAACAACAACAACAAAAAAGCACCGCAGCTGTTCTTTACATCAATGTTATTTTTATATTGAAAATGCTAGCCATATTTTTATGTAGCAAATAGAATTGTTTTACTAAACGACTACAATAAATTAAATCTTGGCAGTTGATATATTTATATGAAATAAAGAGCGACATTTTGAAGTTTAATTGATTTGGGAATTTACACTTGGCGTCCCCTACATCGAAGACCTCTATAGTAGAAAACTTTATTTTGAAGTACAAACCCAATTTCCGGTGTCATCTTTTCTCATGATCAGTGACTTAACGAAGTATCAAAGGTGTCTGTCCTGTTTTGCTTGCAGAGGGCTGTGAGATGTGAGGCAGACAGCTGTAAATCCCGGAACTGGAGATCTGTTGGACAGGATTAGGATCCACATAGGTCACAGCTGGAAGAATCATTCAACAAATGTTTTAATTTAAGAGATTATTTAAATGTACACCCAAAAGTAGTGACTTACTTTTTATTAAATATTTAGAAATTATTGAAGCATAAGCAAAACTGAACCCCATGCAATTAAAGATAGGGACAAACTGCCACCTCTCTCTCTCTCTCTCTCTCTCTCTCTCTCACACACACACACACACACACACACACACACACACACACACACACACACACACACACACACACACACACACACACACACACACACACACACACAGAGAGAGAGAGAGAGAGAGAGAGAGAGAGAGAGAGAGAGAGAGAGAGAGAGAGAGAGAGAGAGAGAGAGAGAGAGAGAGAGAGAGAAACTGAAGCAGTCAGAGCATCTCACACGTCTCATTCTGCTACTTTAATGTGGCTCACAGGAAGTGGTGACAAAACAGGGCTGCTTTAAAAGGAGGTGAAATGTCATTGCTGGTTGTCAGAAGATGGCAAATGGAAAATTACAGCTACTCAGATTTACATTGTGAAACGGATGCACAAATTTTAAGTAGGCCTAACGACGGGGACACAAGAAGCGCGCCTCGTAGTTTTTCTTTTAACCACTTGGTGTCCTCCATTTCCTCTCTGCCTTTTCTCTGCTCATTTCCTCTACACCCCCCTCCCTCTTGCTGTTTGAGTGTGTTTGTCCCAATGGTTTGTCCGCGTGTGTGTGAACCAGGGACGCAGATAGGATTTTCAAACAGGGGAGGGGGGGGGGGGGGGGGGGCAAAGTTCCAATGTACCCCCCCCACACACACACACACGTACACATACACATACACATACACAAACTATTGCAAGTGCCTTAACTAGAGCTCAGTCAGTTTGTGTAATTTCATCCAATGGTTTACGTAAAAACTAACACATATATACGTGTTTGAAGCCATTGTGCAGTGGAACGCTGGCAACAAAGCTCTGCCTGATCAACACTATAAATGATAAATGATCCGCACTTGTATTTCGCCTCTCAGAGTAAGGACTCCAAAGTGCTTTACACTACAGTGTATCATTCATCCATTCACACACATTCACACACTGATGGTGATAAGCAACGATGTAGCCACAGCTGCCCTGGGGCACTCTGACAGACACCCCCCACAATTTAAATTTAGTCATTTGTTATTCTCCCAATCAATTACTAACCAAAACCTCATGCTTTACGCAAAACATTAAATGATTTTCAGCATACCAATCTTTACAGAAAACGTAAAAGCCCTAAAAAACTGCACATAAAATATAATAAGAAACAATATTCACTTATCACTTAGAGCAGTGGTTCCCAAACTTTCCAGCCTGACCAACAGATGTTCCTTCATATTTTTACGTTATTTAAATTTTTTTATTATATTTGGAAAGTTTTTATTTATATATAAATATATAAAGCTCTTTTAAAATTGTATATTTTACTTTTTTATGATTATGTGGCACACTTGACTTCCATACACAACGCATCGGCATCTGCCTCTTTTTTTACAAGTGGTGCTTGCTGCACTGACTCTGGTGCAGCTCCGCCTTTGTAGTTCTGCAGCACCCTCTTCTTTTTTACGGCTTTTTTTAACATTGTCGCTACGTCTATCACATTTGCGGTGTTTTTACCATCATTTCTACATCCATCACATCCCAGAGAAGGTTAAACCAACATCAAACCCAATGTTTGGGGCTTGAAAACTCCACACACCTCTCATGCAGCACCAGCTGTCTGATGCTGCAGCAGCGTCAATCGTCCCGGCTGGATGAGTGAATTTCTTCATCAGAGTCAATATTCTGCTTCATAATCAGAGTCAGTCATTACCAGACAAAGTGATCGGTCAAAAAAGACCAGACCAGCCAGCAAATATACGTTTTATCTAAAATTTGCGCTCTTCATGTTGCACGCATCTCCTCCTCTCCCCGACTGGGAGCCTCTCAGCGGGAGGCATTTTTCAAGCTCTAAAAACTCCCAAACTTTGCTCAGCCTGAAGGTTACACATCTCCACTATCTTCTTATGTAAAGTAGTAACTTCATGAGGGATCATATTTGTAGATGAGACTTGTTAAAGTCAGCAATGAGGCTTTGGCGCTTTTAACGAGTAAGTCCCAACACTGACAACAACGTACTGAAACTAGAACCAACATGCATAAACGGACAGATCGGTCCCGCCTACTTACACTGTTGGTCTTTTTTAAGTAAGCAGTAATCGTTGCTTGCCTTTTTCGCTTCATCCTGCATCCTGGCAGCAACCACTTTGGCGCCTCTGGAGTTGGTATTTGTTTACGTCATGCTGCATTCAATGTAATTGGAAAAAGGAGCTTCAAGTGCTTATCCTCTGATTTTGTTTTCTTTCTGGCCTTAGTTGGGGGGGACGGATCGGGGTCGATCTGAATCTGGAGGGGACACATCCCCCCCGTCCCCCACCCTATCTGCACGCCTGGTGTGAACCAGTTGTTAATACCTGGCCTACGACTTTCTGCCTGTCCTGTTTGCTCCAGCTGAAAGACACCCAAAACCACACCCCCTTCACGTGGTCTCACACACACACACACACACACACACACACACACACACACACACACACACACACACACACACACACACACACACACACACACACACACACACACACACACAAGTTTGCTGTGTGTGTTCGTGTGGTTTTTATGCAGTGTCTGTTTACGGACACATTTGACTATCGCGAAATTGTACTTTGACATGCTTTATTTTGTTAAATTTACTGGCCTGCCTCTTATGTCTAGGTTTGACTTCCTGCCAGAATTGACGCGGTTCACCCGTGGCTCGCGAAAAAAAAAAATAGAGCAGACGCCAAACCGATCGTTGCACGGCGCAGGCTGGAGTGCCGGCGCGCAGCGCTTCGGCGGCCCATGTGGTCTAGGATAACAAGGGCGCCGAATGAAGGCGGCCCCCATTTCACGGCGCTTCGGCGGCCGGTGTGTCCCCGGCGTAATTTACCCCCATACACATGACCAGATATTTTGCCAGATTTTTTTTCCTGTTTATTTTTCAGTGCATTTTATGCAACCTTTTCATATTTTAAAATCATTTTATTGAGCCAACATGTGCTAAAATCATTCATAAGTGTTTATTCAGACCCCCACAGCCCTCTGTGGCCAGAATATTGCACTTGTAAGTTCAAAGTTGTCAGACTGACATGGAGCTGACATGGCTGCAGTCTGGTTCCAGCACATTTTCTGCTTGTTTTAGATCATGAACATCTTTGATATGTTTGATTTGGTGATGAATCACTCCTGTAGACACTATTGAAGGCCGAGGAGACATTTCAGCAGTTAAAGTGTTAAAAAGACAAACAACAGCAAGGAGATAAGTTTCACTTTTGATTTCACAAAACAGACAATATGGAGGTGCTAAAGGCAAGCCCAAACTGCATAATATCCCTTTGGTTGTACTCTTTGTTTTATTACAAGTAGTTTTTCATGACAATTGCAGATGGTGCTAGAGTATAAAAGGCAGCTCTACACATAAACTCTATTTAAGTTATGGCGCCCTCTCCTGGTTGTAATGATGAAAGTTCATGCTTCATAATTCTAAAGTAAAAACCGATTCATCCTGAGGTTTGGCTTTACCTCTGGATGTCAAACCAAAAAGCAAAAGGCACTGGTAATGGTACTCTCAGTAATGAGATGGGGTTCGATTCCCCACAGTGCTCTGCTGAGAAGATTTTCTGCCTGAAACTAAACAAATAACAGTTTGATACGAGCGTGGATTAATACGTTACCAACTCGGTGTTAAGATAGCAGCACTGGTAAAATCATCATTAAAGGTTTAGAAGCAATCCACAGATGAGAAAATAATGCATTTTCCATCAGATTTATGAATCTAAACACAGGTACATAAACAAATTAGGACTTGGTCATGACTCTCATTGACCTGTGGGAGAGATGAGATGATGACAACCAGCAAACACCTCCTCTGGTTGAGAGATCTGACCCTGATCCTCTTCCATCCACTGCAGAGAGGTTAAAAGTATCTTGGTGTCTTGTGTACCAGTGAGGGGAGTAGGGAGCAGCAGATCAGCAGGTGGATGGGGGTATCTGCTGGGATGCTGAACCAGTTTGTAGAGGTGGAGAGGGAGCTAAGCTCAAAAGCACAGCTTTATGTATGTTTCTTCCTGTCAAAAGGGAGTTTTCCTCTCCACTGTCGCTAAATGCTTGCCTAGTACGATGATTGCTATACATACTAATCAGTGACTCCATGCAACCTGCTGGGTTCCTTATATAGGAAACCTTTTACTGATTGGCTCAATGAACTGTATTGGAATGTTAACTATGTGAAATGCCTTGAGACGACTCTTGTCGTAATTTGGTGGTATATAAATAAATTGAATTGATCTCACCATCATGGAGTGTGTCTGGGATTAAATGGAGTGACAGAAGTATGTGAGAAGGCCTACATCCACAGAGGATCAATGGTAAGTTGTTCCAAGATGCTTGGAACAACTTACCAGCCCAAAACTCATTGCATGTATACCTAGAAGAATTGATCTTTTGTTCATTCACTGATTTTTGTTGATTGATGAAAATAAATGATCAACACTTCAACCAATGATCAACCATTTTTTAATGTGTTCTTTGTTTACATCAGTTTCACACTGGCCTAAATCTTTTGCACAGTGCTGTACATATCTATCAATCTATCTATCTATCTATCTATCTATCCATCCATCCATCCATCCATCTATCTATCTATCTATCTATCTATCTATCTATCTATCTATCTATCTATCTATCTATCTATCTATCTATCTATCTATCTATCTATCTATCTAATAAAACCCCATTTCAACCTGGGTGCTCTCATACTTCCAAGCCTGGGTCCTCTACCAGGGACTGGGAGCTTGGGGATTCTGCACAGTATCTTAGCTGTTCCTAGAACTGCTCTTTTCTGGACTGAGATGTCTGATGTTTTTCCTGGGATCTGCTTTAGCCACTCCTCCATTTTGGGGGTTCTGCCCTGAGTGCCCCGATTACCACAGGCAGTGGTAATCGGGGCACTCTCTCTGCAGTTCTTCTTTGAGGCCCTGGTACTTCTCTAGTTTCTCGTGTTCCTTTTTCTGGATGTTGCCATCACTTGGTATTGCCACATCAACCACAAGGGCTGTCTTTTACAGTGGTCCTCAATGGGCTCCTCTTTCTGGCCCCCGAACCCCGTGCACGTATGTATGTATATATGTATATATATATGTATGTACATATATATATATATATATATATATATACACACATACATATATATATATATATGTATGTATGAATATATATGTATATATATACACATACATATATATATATATATGTGTGTGTGCACATTTATAGCTGCAGAGCAGCTGTGTTCCCTGAAAAAGGCCTTTTTGTATAATTCTGAACATAATCTGTACATAATTTTTCAGTTTTGAGTAACCTTACAATTTTTTTGACCTCTTGCAATTCACCACTTAATTTTGTACCATTTCAAGCTATTCATTGGACTTGAATGACTTAAACTGCAATAAATAACTGGAAAAACTGAGGTGTAAAACTTTTGACCGGTAGTATTCACACGCACACACATATATATTTATTCATATACACACACGATATGGCCTCAAATCTATATTGCGATATAATCTGAAGCATGTGCAATTACAATATATACTGCGATATAATTTGTCCTTTGTTTGTATATGTCAAAATGACATGCTTTAAAAAATCCTATTGAAAGTATATTGCAGCAGAATAAAGACGTCCAAAAAGTGTAGAATGCTCCTCCTCCTCCCGCTACATGCTTGCAGTCACTGCCATTCTGTTGTTCCAATGTCGGCACGGGTGCACATCTTAGTGACATCGTGTTATCGCAGTAGAGCCAAAAACGTATCATTACCCAATTTTATATCGTTTAGATTGCCCACCCCTAATATCTAATAAATATGGCTACGCAGTGGTCAGAGCTGTTGCCTTGCAGCAAAAAGGTCCTGCGTTCGCTTCCCAGCCTGGGATCTTTCAGCATGGTTTGCATGTTCTCCCTGTGCATGCGTGGGTTCTCTCCAGGTACTCCGGCTTCCTCCCACTGTCCAAAAACATGACTGTTAGGTTAATTGATCTGTCCAAATTGTCCTTAGGTGTGTGTGTGATTGTTTGTCCTGTGTCTCTGTGTTGCCCTGCGATGCACTGGCTCTCTGTCCAGGGTGTACCACGCCTGATTGTCCATTGACCGCTGGAGATAGGCGCCCCCCCGCGACCCTACGTGGACAAGCAGGTTCAGAAAATGGATGAATATATATATATATATATATATATGGAGGAGTGGCTAAAGCAGATCCTACAAAAAACATCACACATTTCAGTCTAGAAAAGTGCTGAACAGCTAAGATACTGCGTAGAACCCTCAACCTCCTCTGGTGGAAGACCTGAGCTTAGAAGGATGAGACCACCTGCTGAGGGTGAGATGGGAATATATATATATATATATATATATATATCAGACAAACACTGACAAAGTTATATGCTGAAACAATAGTTTAGCTCTTGCTGACCCGTTAGACTGCTCAGGCTTTTCCTTTGTTTTACAGTATATGGCCTTCAGCTGTGAAGCACCTGCTGTATCAGTCTGGCTGATGAACAGAGCATCTCATTTAATGAATACATGTTTGTTTAACTGAGGAATTTTATCTATGTGTTGGGAAAGTGTAAACATACTTTAGGTTAATTTGTATGAAATCAAAATGTATAAAAAATAATGAATGAATAGTATAATAGCAAATAATTATGCTGAGGCTTTATAATAAGCAGTATTTAGGAATAAGATGTCATGATTAAAAAAGCTGTTTTGTTTTACATGCGACAAGAAACAACTGAAGATGAATGAGTCATTAATTTATTCAAATTTTTTGAGAATAAACAAAAATATCTTTATTAACCCCTGTTAAACATTTTACAGCAGCAAATAGATGATAATAAGCAGTAAAATAAAATAAAAACACTTCTAATTGGAACAGTAAAATTTGGATAAAGGGATGCAGAGATCCCACAGATCCTGCCCTGGACTCTTAACAAAATCAGATCCAAATGCATGGCTGCACAACCTTAGATCATGGCCATTAAATACATAAAATACATAAAACACAACCCAGCTCAGCCTGTTGCATTTCAGAGTGAATACAAGAGCTACCCGAGGGTTGCAACAGTAGAACAATGTAAAAGGAGGCGTTCCAGCCAGGTCTTCAGGTCCCACTGACAGGTCTACCTTATCCGCTCTGGTTTTGGACCGGCAGCTCGTTTTGTGACAGATGATGAATGAGTGCCACGCCGATGCAGTTTCCCCATACATTTATGACGGTGTTGAAGTGGTCTCTGAGGGGCACAAATGTGTTTTTCCAGCTTAGAATATTTTAAAAGCATTTTCTAAAACTACAAATGGCTATTAAAAACTGATCATTAAAATCTTCCTATCATTAAGTCCTTCCTTGAAGCCGACCCAAATACTTACATTCAGTCTTTGTTGTGTCCTTCAATTCCTACAAGAATTAGCATGAATCTTTCTTGTGTTAATAGGCGAATTAAAATTACATTAAGCCCACGATTCCTGACTGGAGGTTGAATTGATTCAGAAAAAGCGATCCCACTTCAGAGACAGACTAAAATCTGTGCTGCTCAGGTTAAACTTACAAAATCCACTCCAAAAGCACCAGAAGTGAGGCCCCTTTGGCAGGGAGACCCACTGCCGACAAAATGAAGACACTGGTCAATGCGCCAATAGCTGGGACCCCTTCTGCTCCCATGCAGGAAGCTGCTGCAGTCAAGCTGCAAATCAAACACATTCTGTAAAGGTCCCAGGATCCCTCTTAACAGAGCCCTTGTGTCTGTTTTCCTTAACAGCAACTCTAACAGCCAAGCAAACACAACAGAAAAGGGACATACCTGATATTAACGATGTGAGTACCATTCAAGTGGATGTCGTTGAGTTGGGCGATGAAAACAACAGAGGCCACTTCATAAAGGACACTTCCATTCATGTTGAGGTTGGATGCGATGGGCAGCATGAAGCGAGTGATTCTTGGGTCAAACTTCAGTCTCTCCTCACAACACTGCATAGTTTCTGGCAGCGTATCGGCGCTTTGACAGAAAAAAACGTCCATCAAAAAACCACCCATAAGAAAAAAGGGAACCTGCTCTCTTCAGATAAACCGGTGTGGCAGCCTGATTCTAGCTTACCTGGATGACATGCGCATGGCAGTGAATAAGACATGAGAGACCTCCCTCATCACAACAAAGGGGTTGCGTCTCACAAGCACAAGGTAGATGAAGGGAAGAATGACCATTCCATGGATGATAAGGCTGAAAGACACAATAAATATCAATACTGATGACACACAGCCACCATCGTACATGGGCTTAATCCAAAGCAAGGTTTTCCTCTTTGTTTTTATGTTATGGGCTGCTCCTTCTGGTTGTTTTATTTATATATGATGTGTTCTCCCTTTGCTTGTTTCTGTGTTAAGAGTTGTGTTTCTATTTCTGTGCAGGTTGGCTGTGGCTCCTGAGAATCCCACTCCTCTGTGGAGCACTTGGAGTGTCGCAGCTGACTGCAGTTTCCTAGATTGCCACCACTCTTATTTAAGCAGCTGGGTCCAGAACTCAGTGTGGCGTTATACTAAATAGTCTGTGGATGTACTGCTGGGATTCCTCTGCGAGTGACCTTTTGAGTTTCCCACTGGTGTGGTGATTTTGGGCTGCATGGTGGAGCAGTGGTTAGCACTGTTGCCTTGCAGCATGAAGGTTGCAGGTTCGAAACTCGGCTGCGGCCTTTCTGCGTTGAGTTGCGTGTTCTCCCCATGCATGCATGGGTTTCCTCCGGGTACTCCGGTTTCTCCCACAGATCACAACATGTCCTATAGGTTATAAATTGTAAGTCGCTTTGGATAAAAGCGTCTGCTAAACAAATAAACATAACATAAACATTTTGTGTTATTAAATCTGAAATAAACCAGGTTCTCTCTGCCTCCTGCATCTGGATTTATTCTGGTGTTCCCCGCCATGACATTTTGACCCTGTCATTAAACCAAAGGGTTGGTCTGCTAAAGGTGACTCTATTCTTGATCGTAGTATTCTACGTTAGTAAGTCTTTTCACTAAACTAATAAACACACCAGTCTGACAGCAATGGTTGGTGCAATAGTCTTTGGATATAGAGTTCAGATCCCCCTGAAGACGTTTCTCCAAATTTACATACAAACAGGGTGCAATATAAAAGCTCAATCTGATGTTATATTTGTGTGGCCATCCAGAGGTGGTGTTTGACACTTTTATCCAAATTGATCCCTAGCCCTAACCCTGAACACAAAAAACCGCCTCAGCTGCTGATAATTTAAGACAAACAATAAGATGGAATAACTTGAAGATACGATTAGTTCTGCCTCAAAGTTTTAATGAACTTTTTGTAAGAATCAATGTCAGTAAAATAGTGTTTGTTGGAAATAAAATGATCAGTGGGTCACCAGAAAGATGATGGGAGAGTTTCTTTGTATTCTGCTGCTCTGGTCACTGTAGTAAAATGTTTATTGTCAATCACAAATCAACAAATCTCAGCAGCATTATGCTTACCTTCGTATGTAGTAAGTCAGAAATCCCTCAGTGATCCTTCATTGAGTTAATTATCAAGGGTTATGTAGATAGCTACTAAATTGAAACTTGAGTGGCTCTGCACTTTGGTCATGTCTGAATAATAAAGTCCAGATGACTCAGCATCAATCAACCTGCATGCCTGAGTGATGTGACATGATATTATTTTCAAGAATCAACACAGATAATTATAGTTCTATAATTTTTTAGCATTAGATGATCAAAGTAAAAATTGTTACTTTAAAGGCGGCGATGATATCCATTCCTTCAAGGAATGCCAATTGTGTTTTTATGCTGCTGTGTTGATGAATGCTGCAACTTGAGGACCAGTGGTGTATTTAGAAACAGAGCTAAGACAGAGAATGTCAACGTACCCAAGAAGGATCACCCCTGCCAGCTTTCCAAGTTTCATGAAGGATCCCCATCCTTCGACCTCAGTCACATGGCTTGCAATCATGAAAATTAGCCCATAGGGCATGTACCTAAACAAAAACACATGTCAAAGAACTAAAAGCTCAACTAACTTACTATTGAGGAAGGAAGGCAGATGTTTAATGTACATTAAAGAACCCCAAAGTTAGACTTTAAAGTTTTACTGTTAATCTGAGCTTTTCAAAAACTTAACATTATTTCTTATATGTAACATGGATGTAATGAGACACTTTGCTACAGAGACGGTCCTAAAATACAGACAGTTTATGCCTGTATATTCAAATTGAAAAGATCCTTTAGTATTTTAACTAGGGATGAGCCGGATACTCGTTTCAGACACACACACACACACACACGCATACTGTATATAGTTATAGTTCAAGCTAAGGAAGGAGCAGAATGAGGTACTGTGATTCATCAGTCCCATGTGTGATTCAAGACCCACATCTAGCTATGTTTTACACAAGCCAGTGAACACAACACTGTCTCAAAAGAAGACGACTCTATGCTCTACTCTCTGCTTAGTGGCCCCAAATCATCGTCCCAAATAATTTTTCCCTGCCACTTGGCCTGGAGCGAAGGCTCACCCCTGGGCGTGCAGCATGACTTAGCGTCTCAGAGGGAAGACTCAACCATCCTAGCGATGGTACCAACAAGAAGCGATCCTCTGATACAGGGAAACTTGTTTCTCTTAAGATTTTTACTCGGACTAGTTGTTAAAGATCCCTTTCAGTACAACAGTTGAATGAAACTTGGTGGAGTGAGCTTGGCCATAGATTTCATAGTGAAACCGGCACAACACATCTTCAGTTGTGTGCCCTGACCTCATTGGGTGTTTTGGCCACTTATCACAATACACCCTCTGCTGGGCTTGGCCAACCCCGGTTGACCAGACCAGGACGCGTGTCACTCAGAAGCACCACATCATCATTTGGCAGCCCAAATTGCATCCTTGTGTTTCAGCCACAGCCAGTGACACAGTTAAGCCTTCCTGATGGGCATTCAGTTTTATTTTGAGGCCTTATTCCTATTCCCAAAAGCTATTTTGCCTACATAGGATATGATTCCCAAAGCACAATTCCCTAAAGCAAACTTTGTCTGCAGGGTTTGATTTTCATTAGGGGTGTTGCGATCACATTGCTCCTGATTAGAGTCCGAGTCATTTGATTTTGAGTAACTGCCGATACCGAGTTCCGACAAAATGTTTTATCAATGCATAAAAATAATAAGAAAAGAACACATCCAAGTTGTCCTTTAAAATTTTAATATAGTCATTTATCTGTTTCTTTCTTTATGTATTTTTAATTTATTGAAGTTTATCTGACAGAAAACATCACTCTTTCAAGAAGTACATTAATAGGAAATGTGTGTTAATAATAGGAATATATTTAAAAGTAGCCTTGTATCTCTCATTTCGAATCGTTTAGTCAGTGTGTGACTGTTTTGAGCAATGCCCGCGACAGGGAAGACATAGCACATGAAGTCCAAACGCCTGTAGAGCTGCGTCTGTAAAGTTGGGATGAGAAAACAACTCATACTGTGACTCAAGGAGACTGCAAAACCTGATATTTGCAACCACAGGCATGCCATCCCGATTATCACTTGTAAGTCGCTTTGGACAAAAGTGTCCGCTAAATACATGAACATAAACAGTGGGAGGGTTAAATGGCCAGTTTGCATACTCTGTCTGCCTCAGGCAGAAGCCTTTGCTCTGGTCCATTGTGGTTAAGAAGTTAATTGTACATTCCAACTTCCATCTATGGTCATGAGTAAAATAAGATCCTGGATACTAGTGGCTAACAGGAGCTTAATCCACAAGGTGGCTGGCCTAGTTAAGAAGAGGAGCTCCTTCATTCTGGGGGAGCTTGGAGTAAAAAGTTGCTCTTTCCAATGAAAAAGAAGTCATCTGAGGTAGTTTGGGATTTGACTAGGATGTCTCCTGGTTGGTTTTCTATGCAGAAACCCTGAATTTTCTGGATGGATTTAAAATCCTTTCTGGCCTGTGAATGCTTTGGTATTCCCAAAGAGGAGCTAGAAGATGTTGCTGGGGAAAGAAATTTGTAAGCATCCTGCATCTGTTACCTCAGTGACCCAACTGTGGAAAAGTGAAATTGAATGGAAAATTAAAAAATGAGTAGGCGTTTTGTGATTTTGAAACTATTCTAAATTGTATGTTTTCATGCGTTTGTGTTTTACTTTACCAAGTTATCCAATGGGCTACCACTGTTAAGGCCATGTTCAAGTCTTTCAGTAACTTCACCAGGGTTCTATTTGCCTCCCCAATTTGTCCAATCAGAAGGCCACCAATGCAGGACCAAACAATCAGGCCCACCATGTTGGTTCCAGGGACGGTACGGCCCAGTTGTTCAAATTCGGTCAAATTCTGAACCAAGAACACAAACAATTGTAAAGCAAAGTTGTGCTTCTTAGATTTGAAGCATAACAAAATATTACAAGATGGCAACGCCAGATGGAAGGATCAAAATGTATACGTTTACCATGGGCAGACCAGAAATGGGGTCATATGCCTCTACCTCAGCCTCCACTGTCTCAGTCTTGTACTGTGATGACAAAGACAAATTCACAACACAAACCAAACTAGAGATGTTCAAAGGCAAACATTAAATAAAACTTACATGTGCAAAGAAAGCTATAATTAGGCTTGCTGGAATCATGTTCCTGTAGACATTGAAAGAAAGACACTATAAGAAGATTGTAAATACGAAGTACAAAATCTAATAAATTGTAAATAATGTATAACCAAACAAACTGACATTTAAATCTTAATGGTGCATTGTGTAAGAATGAAGTTAAAATGAATCTGTTAAAAACAGGTTAAGTTCGTTGGCCCAATTCTGGTCTCCTTCAGCAGACTCCTTAGTACCACTCCTCCCACTTTGACCGGTGATGTTTCTGAGGCCTCTCTATGAACCATGAGCATTGTTCTGCCCAGATGTTTCTCCAGCTTCTTCCTGTAGACATCTTTAGCCCGTCTGATCTTATATTTAAGCTCCTTCTGAGCTTTTTGCTTCTCTTTTTCTCAAGCCATAAAAAGCTTTTTTCTTATCATTCAGCAGGGATTTCAGCTCAGGGTAAAGCCAGGGTTTACTATCAGAGAAACACCTCACTCTTGGGTACTTACATATTGTACCTTTAAGCAAAGATAATGGATCTTATAAAACTGCTCAAAATATATAATTTTTTAAAACACTTTCTTCTCACCTTACAAGATCCATCAGAGCGACCATGGAGAAAAAGTCCTCTTTTTCCACATCTATCATACTTGTCACATCAGAAGAAAATCCAGGCTTGATGTGCACTGACAGTAGAATTCCTACAACACACAGATCAGGATCTGAAGCAAGGCAAAATAAAATGATCTAGTAGTTGGTCCATGTGAATGAATCTTCTCAAGTAAAAAGGGGCTAGAAGAAATCTACTTAAGCTCACTGACAAAATATGAAAGAACAAGTTACTCCAAAATCAACTTGGTTTATAAATTGTTTTAAATGAGTGTCTAATAGTGCTGTAGACGTGCATAATCACTATTTTGGCATTTTAGTGCATTTTATTTAAAATAAAAATATTCTGTCTAGAACTGTTAATGTAGCGCTATCTTCAGAATAAGTCCAACGTTAGCCAGTATTTCTATAGTCAATCCAAGTATATTTGGCTTATTATTATTTAAAAACTTTTATCAACAACTTTCACACAAACAACCAATTATTTAAAAAAAATTACATTCATTGCTGCTTTGTCTAAAAGTTTCAGAGTATCAACTAATTGTTCTAAAGTTAACAACTTTCCTTAGAAAATACATATTTTCAAAAAATGACACTTGAGCCTTTTCTCTCGTAGCAATGGAATGTGGGTAATACCCTTCACCCAAGTCCGCATCGCTGCAGACTTGGGTGTAGTGGGGATCAAGGTTGTAAAAGGGGCATGATCAACTTTCGAATTTGAGAATCGAGACATCCTACACACTCGCACCCCTGGTTGGGATGGCGCAAGTGCGAGTATTGGGATTTAGCCTAAGGGTGATGAGCGAACCTTGTGCGCATCCATGCTACAGTAAAAGAAGCTCATGTTCATTGATGTCATATAAGTGACAATGCAAGAAATAAAACAGTCGTGTTCTTCTTACAAATGGAGCAAGCTATCAATTCATGCCTACGAGGACTACAAAGAGATCAAAACTACAACAGAAGCTGCCAACTGCTCAATGAATGCCACATGACTGGCGCAATTTAGTAAGAATTCTCAGCATCTGCACATGTTTCTCCACATAATTTATTCAGGTTTTCACCTTTTATACGTCATTTTTCATGTTCCATTCCGTGAGTCTGAATGTTTTGGGACTGGAGTACTTTGGTTTTTTGCCGAGCAGCTGTGACTTTCAAGAAGATAAGATTGTATCAGCCATGTGACCGTAAAGCCTGCCGCACACGAGAGCAAACTGCTGAACAAACTGCCTCGAATGACCATTTGCTCAGCAGATTCCTTGCTGTGTGCGCCTGATTTTCACTGATTTTTCCGCCTCACGAGAAGCTGAGGTGAATATCCGACCGGTTTGATATTTTCCGCCTCATGGGGGGTAAAAACTTGTCGTGTACGCACTACTGAGCTGCTGGCTGAGCTGAAATATTCTAGTGGCCAATCAAAGCTTGTTCTCCACGCACACGATTCCAAGATGTACTCAGATGCAGCCCCCTGTCCTGTCTGCGTGTCAGAAAAATAAACAAAATGGTACCTTGCGGATCGATGGGCCTACTGTTTCCACTACCCTCTCGAAGGATCCAGGATCCAGGCGGCGGTACTGTTGGAAGGATTCTGGGTTTTCAATGCGCATTGGAGTAGATTGGCATAAACTCCTTGCCCGGCCCTTCGTTCCAGCCACTGTACCCATGCTTTCCTAACCTTGAAATGCCGGATGTGGCGACGCCTCATCAAACAAAAAAGTAGAGGCATTTCCTTTGTTTCCAGCTGTCTCCGTTTTGTCTCTTCGCTTGAATTAAAGAGGACTGAATCCACCTAAGCATCATTTGTGGAATCGACAAATCCTAGGGGGAACTGGTACGTAATGTTAAGCAGGGATTTATCAGAAAAGCCTTGATGTTCTAAACTCGCTTTGTGGAATAGCCCCCTGGTCTGAATGCATATTAAACACACCTACTGTACACTTAAGCATTCCTTATGGATACCCAACCTTTGGTATCAAGAAGCATTTTTCTTTCTTACCTGTAGTGACTGCCAGTACGGTGGTTGAGAAGATGTACACTAGTACACGTGCAGCAATTCTTCTAGAGGACTTTGAGCTTACTTCAGACATGCCTGACACAAAACAAAAACAAACTAATAACAACAAATATTTAAAAATAAATGTGTTCTCTTTCAGTCAGTGCAGAGGCAGTTAAAGCTATTATCCACTGTGCTGGGCAAATTTCACCTCAGTTAAAATAAAAGTGTCAGAATTTTTTTATCAGTTAAAATGCTATTAGTATACTGGCAAAAATTCCTGTGTATTTTTTTCCTTTTTAACTTTTTTAAGAATGCATGACCCAATAACACAGTTAAACAGTATACAGTATAAGGAATTCATCTTTGGCTAACCTATTATCACACTAGTCACAATGAGAGGAGTTGTGACCATGCGAAGCATCCGAGAGAGTAACTCTCCGGGATAGTTTATGTAGCCTTTCTCAGAGTCCGTCAGGTGTGCGTAGATTCTGAGAATCATACCGAGGAAAACACCTGTAAGACCAAAAATAAACATAAGGGATAGAACAAAAACCTATACGGTATATCTCAGTGTAGACTTATAATTATATGCATTAACAAATTAAGATATATATATATATATATATATATATATATATACACACACACATAAATGTAAAACATAGGCTGTTACCTAAAGCATTATTGGGAAAGAATATTCACTAGGTGGACCAAAAAGGGCTCAAAGGGACCTCATTCTGCCAAGGGCTACACTCTGACCAGGCATTGAAACAGAAAACGTCATCCCATCATTTTAACATAAAACATGGCATTTAGGGATGCACCGATACGATACTGGTATCGGTATCGGCACTGATACGATACCAATACCAGTGTAACGTGAGGAAATATGGGTTTTCTGTGCCAAAGGTTGTACTTGGCCCGGCTGGGTCAAAGCTGGGTTGTGCAGAACTTTCACCCACAGAGTGAGACCTTTGCCGACATGAAGTCTGCTGCAAACCATAACATCTGCCACCTGCAGTGCCAGAAGATGTTGTTCTCATGAAAGCTAGTCATAATGAAGAGTCTTACGCTTCCTTTGTTTATTAATGCTAAATAATCATTTTACCATTTTACTCATTATAAATGTATTTTAATCAAATGAATTATTATTATGCTTTGGTTAATCATAATAACTATAACGAGGCAATGCTTAATTAAGTAATATTTTTAAGATGTTTTAGTGGTGACCTTCACACTCGCTCACACACACTCTCACAGTAAATTCAAAACACATTTGCTGATGCACAAGTTTTGCTTTGAGAAGAGAAAGGCTTTGGTAAGTTTTCAGTTCATGATTCAGTTCACGTTTTGACAACGAAAGAGGGAGGACTTGTGAACAACTGCCAACGGGGAACGGGGCTGCGGCTCCTTTCTCCCCCCCCCCTCACGCTATTCCTGCCAAGCCAGACAGGATAGCCGAATTGCAACCAGCTAATGCAGACTCGTCCCGAGTCTTTTGATTTCTGAGTAATTTAAACTTAAGAAAGCGCATCTGCAAATGCTTTATCATCACGTGTACCGAGGGGCAACTCTGGACTGGGTCGCCAGCACACCTCCGTCTCCTCTGCCAGCCGAGGTGTCATCTGGAGTACCACCCTCCTGGGTCCCGGATCTAAAAGAGGGTCCGAATACGGTGAGGCAGTCCACAACAGATAGCGTTTGATGCATCTTTTCCAACGAAACCTAAGTTTATTCAAACCATCACTTTTCACTCAGACACCTGTTTCTTCCTGAAGCAAAATCAGACGCACACACGCATTCTTCTCACCTCATTTTCAATTTTCACACATTCAACACAAGGTCTATTTGAGCAAGTTTAAAATATCAACTGTTAAAGATTGTTCAACAAAGTTGCCAATGTTGATTGTTATTTCCTATGCTTGTCATTCCAAAATCATTAGTTTAATTTGAAGAATTAAAACTTTTAACTTTCAAACTTGTCTCTTCATTGAACTGAAACACAGACCCACGGATATTATCGTCAGTTTATCGATGAAAACAACCTTTGAATCTTCTTAACCCTATAAAATTTGGTTATTAATTTATTAAAAATTAATTTCTCAAATTAATATGTAGAATGGTTCCTCTTTCATAAAAGAGCATAAACCATTACACTACATAATTGGCAGAGCCTAGCCAGGTTCTCTACACCAGTATCGGTAAAAGTTAACCGGTACCAGGAACCGATACCAATGCAGTTGCTTGAAAACGGCTTCACTGTAACTTGTCATTTCTGTTCACCTAAAATGTTAGTTTTGTGATGATTTCCATTCATATATTTTACTTTTTATCTACCTCACAGTCTTTTCCTGTTGAAAGCAGAGAAGAAAATAAAATCTGTATTCCAAATCATTGCATTTTTTGTGTGGTAGAAGTATCGGTATTGGTAATCGGTATCGGCGAGTACTCAGATCCAAGTATCGGCATCGTATCGGTTTGGAAAAAAGTGGTATCATTGCATCCCTAATGGCATTAAAAGATCCTGAAATTTAAAAATCTAAGTAAAAAAAAATTAAAGTCTTTCAAATACACAAACTAGTTTTCCAAAATAATGTATTGTAAAATGAAACACCATGAATAAATTATTAAAAACTGTAATAGAAAAATAAGCTCAAAATAAAAATATTTTTAATCCTATTTTTTTTCATAAAGGCGTTTATTTATTTGATGAAGTATTTATTAATTATTTAAAACTAAATTGAATAGAAAATGTCTTTATTGTCACTCAGTGGGGAAATGTAAGAGTGACAACATCAAAGTAAATTCACAAAAATAAAAGGCTGTACAGTGAATAAGAAACATATATGTATATACATTTAAATATTCAAATTTAGCACGTTTCTGCATTTTGACTGATGAATAACAATCCTAGAATTGCTCACTCCAGTAGCTTTGTTTCAGCCACTTAACCCTGTGTTGTGTTGTGTTTGCACCTGACTGTTCTGCTCTGATCAGTACACTATCTTGTAAATATTCGTCGTGTTTCTAATTATTGTCACTTTTCTTTTATTGTGCTTAATTCTTATTCTTGCACCAAGTACCACAGCATTTTCCTAATCCTTTGAACCTGCTCACACATATGGCAACAAAACCCTTTTGATTCTGATTGAAAGATACAAGACTATAGCAGACAATTTACAGAGGGCGACAACGTGAAAAGAAAACGGGTCTAAATCAGATATGAATGAATTCAATGCAAGTAGAACACCAGAAGCTGTGCAAATAAGAAATAAGCAGCAGGGATGCAATTGTCTGACAATAATAACAGATGGAAGAGCTAGATCCTGTGATTGTAGAGGTAACATCAGTTTCTTGTGCTAACTCACCAGTGGGGACTACATCAGAAATGATCCATTAGGTGGAACGTATTCCCCATAATTTCAGTCTACCAAACCATTTATCATTAGTCTAGAAATCTCAAAAGGGAAAGGGTAGAATGCCTTCTGCGGGTCAGAGACGAGGTTCTGCCCCAAGCGGAGGAGTTTAAGTATCTCGGGGTACAAAAGTAAGGGAAAGATGGAGAGCAAGATCGACGGGCTTAATGGTGCTGCGTCTGCAGTGATGCGGGTGTTGTACCAATATGTTGTGGTTAAGAGAGAGCTGAGACAGAAGGCAAAGCTCTCGATTTACTGATCGATCTACATTCCTACCCTCACCTATGGTCACGAGCTTAGGGTAGTGACCAAAAGAATGAGATTGTGGATACAAGCGGCCTAAATGAGTTTTCTCCACAGGGTGGCTGGACTCTCCCTTAGAGATTGGTTGAGAATCTCAGTCATCCAGGAGGGGCTTGGAGAAATACAGCTGTGCCTCCACATCAAGAGGAGCCAGTTGAAGTGGCTCAGGCATCTGGTTGGGATGTCTCCTGGACGCCTCCATGGTGAGGTTTTCTGGGCACATCCAACCAGGTGGAGACCCAAAGAAAGACCAAGGACATGTTTCTTGGCTGGCGAGGAAAAGCCTTGGATTCCTCTGGAGGAGCTGGCCCAAGTTAGCCTGGCCACGCTCCATTGACGGCTCTCGGTTGTGGGGCGGGTTCTACCGTTGTCTTTCAAATGATTTCTGCATGCCACTGGACAATGAATGTGACATACTCTTGTTTCACTCTGTTGCATCATCCCACCCAGCAGGCATATAGAGTGCCCTGATTGGCCCACGAAGCGGTTAAAGCTCTGTGATTTGTTCACTAAGCAGATAGAGCACTATGATTGGGCCACTATTATGGACCAATCACAGCTCTTTATGTGTTTGAAACCCCTCTAGAGCAGTGGTTCCCAAACTTATTTAGCCGCGCACCCCCTTCTATGTCCCGACCATGTCGACGCACCCCCCAGCCCCCACATCAGGGCATATATATATATCTATATATATATATATATATATATATATATATATATATATATATATATATATATATATATATCAGACGTCAAGCTAAACAGACAGGGTTAAAAAAATATGATCGACCTTTATCCCCATCACTTTCATTTTTTAAATAGTAATTAATAAACGTTCGATACCATTACAATTTCCTTTGATTTAATTTTAAATAAATATTTAGAGTGCCCAGGTAGCACATAAACAATGCAATTTAACGGTTTTCTTAAAGTAGGAACGTTTAACTTGTGCGGCCAGAGCGCTCTCCTTCCTTCTGTTCTGCGTTAACCTGAACTGATCACCTACTTGTGCGTAATCAAATGTCTATACAGGAAAAGATGGAAAAGCCATGAGGTTCACTTTTGCCTCAAACCGACTTATTGCTGTTTTATGGTGGCTGAATCTGCGATCCGCTGCCACGCGGACTGGAATAACAAATGCTGCAGTAGTTGTGGTCAGGTTCGGAGTCACTGGCTGGAGCGGACCCGACTTTAATACGTCATTCCAAAATAGAAGCTAATATCTTAATTTGACCTGGAATGAAAAATGTTGTTATAAAACCTCTTAAAAGTTTTTATCACGGAGGAGGCAGCGCTCATTTCTGTCTTCAGTCTGACGGCTCGCCGGAGTTTGCGCAGCGTGCGCGCTTATTGAATCTGTGTGTGTGTGTGCGCGCGCGGCACAGCTCCATGAGCCACTCCAGTCACCGCGTCTCGTTGTTGGCGCTATTTAAACCAATGTTGTAAAATGACTTCTGCTCAGCCCAGATGTGCTCACTTGTGCACCTGTGAGCCGTGGTTCCGCTGGAACGCGTCTGACCTCTGACAGACGCACTCTGAACTTCAGATCTTCAGCACGCTAATAGCCTGAATGGGAATCATTTCTTGATTTATTTTGTTACATCCACAATGTTCTGTGTGTGAGGTTTACAATGTCAGAACACCTGCATGAGACAGGGTGTTAATTACAATCTGCCAGAATGACTCACCACCTTCAGATTTCTCCAACATCGTTAAAAATGATTAAATACGCAACATATCGGCGTGCGCAGGCCAGAGCGCTGAAGCTCGGCGCATTGTTATTATGAAGCTAGGGCACATGTGGAGGACACACGCGTGCGCGCAAAAATATACTTGTTTTCAATTACATTTATTGTGCCAACTTACTTTTTCTTTGGCCCACCCACAAATGAGTTTCTGGCTACGCTAATGGTGACATATGACAAGACTTCTCTGAGCTCCGCAGCCATTACACTTTTCACCTCACGCAACCCCTAGCGGCAGCTCGCGCGCACCACACTTTGGGAATCCCTGCTCTAGAGAGCTGTGATTGGCTAGCCAGAGTCCTGGTAGGAGCTGCAGAGGTTCCAATGGAGCTTGCCTAGACCAAACTTTGCAAAGCAAGAATTTGGTCTAGTTCACTAGGCTTGGCCCAAGTAGCTGGGAAGAGGGAAGTCTGGGCCTCTCTCCTCAGGCTGATACCCCCGCAATCTGACCTTGGATAAGTGGAAAAGAATGGATGGATGGTTTGTTTAATTACTTTTTATGAAAGCAAGAAAAAATGCATCTAATTATACTGACTATCACAGATAAAATGTTTTTCGTGTTCAGGGCAAAAAAGAAATCCTACCTTTGTGAACTTCACACATCTGACTACTTACTACATGAGGTGCATTACCTGAAATGAACCATTTATCTCATTTTCTCACCAGAATTATGTTAATTAACCTTTTAGAGGCCAATCCCTTTAAAAATACAAAACATGAATACATCAATTTTTTGAAAAATAAAATAAAATACATTTTGATATTTGCATGTATAGGATGTCACTTGGGGTTATCAAACGTAAAAATATGACTCAAGAAGCTATTTTGCAGAAGCTTGAAATGGGCTGTGACGCCAGGGTCACTGAGAGTTAATAATGTTTACTAATAACCTTTATGCTTACAACTTATTGAATACACTTTACATTTCAAGTAACTGAAAAATCGTATATGTAAACTACATTTTACCAGCAAGTGAACGGTTGGTAATCATTAGCCACCATGTTAGCCACACACTTAGCTAGCAAGGTGGAAACCTGAAGGCTACATGCTGGCTAGCGGATTAGCTTCCTCACCTGCCAAGACGCTTAGCAGAGCTAAAATCTGCCATTTGTTCCGCAGAAAAACACCCCAGAACTTTCGGCAAAGGTCAGTCCATGATCTCCTGGGTCTAGAGAACGCTCCTTGATTCTCTGTCATGCCTACTACTCTACAAGAAATATGAATATGAGAACAACTGAGCCAACAGACATGTTTAAAAAACAGCCCAATTACAACACGTTCTTTGTAATAAATCGCGTTTAAATAATACATTTTGAACAAAATACTTACATAGTCAAGAAAAAGATGACAGTAACACTACTACCGAGCTGCGTGAGAACAGCGGGTTTCTTGAGCCACAGCCCAACAATTATGGAAGTAACATCAAGGCGCGCGCTTAATTCGCAGCCCTTATGCGTTTTTCTGTTGAAATGTATGGAAGCCCATTCCCGCCCCTCATATTACAAAAAAATAAAAACATTAATAAAAAATTGTATTTCATTATTATGACTTACCTACCTATAATTCCTACAAACTATCTCAATATTATGACTTAGCTATATCACAATTGTGAGATGCTGTCTCATTATTTTTGAGATAGTATCCATACTGTCTAATAAAATAGACTAGACTTTATTAATTTCACAGTGGGGACATTCACTCGTTATAGCAGTACATACATTTAGTGAAAATGAAGAATAAAAATAATAAAGTAGAGGTAAATACACATAGACAGTAAGCTATATGGGAGCCTAAGTTGCCTCCCCGAGTCCCCGGAAGAAGAAAAAAATTAATGCAAGTCAACGGGGCTAAAAGAACATTTTTTTCTAATCCGCTTTGCCTAAGAGCGCCCTGAATTGCACAAATATTGTACTTCAATTTAAATGAAAAGCATGTGTGTTTTGACCATGCCAGTCACGCGCTTAGAGATTTATCAGCCTGTAAAAGTTAGTTATTAGCATGACTGCAAACACTAGCGAAACAAATCAGAGCCGGGCCAGGGGCGAGGCAAATGACCAGGCCCTTTTGACCCGGTCATTTGGTCGTTTTCTCTCATGCTCCTTTCACACACGTCCTCAACTGAATTTAGTTGGCGTCCCAGAACCAAGCTAGCTTTTCTAACTTGTTTAGACTCTTCCTGTCTCAGTTAGAGCCCACCCTAACAGACCACATCAGGATAAATAACAGTGCCAACAAGTGATAAAAGGATTTTAGCAGGTGGGAATTAACTTCGAAGGACTTCAGCCTCCTTAGGAGGTAGCGGCGGCTTTGGCCCTTCTTATACAATGCATCTGTGTTGTGGGACCAGTTCAGTTTACTGTTGAGGTGAACACGCAGGTATTTAAAGGTATCCACAACCTCAGTGTCTGCTCCCTGAATGTTTACTAGGGAGTGAGGAGGAGTGTTTCTCTGGAAGTCAATCAACATTTCCTTTGTCTTACTGGTGTTTAAGCAAAGGTGGTTATGCTCACGCCAGTCCACAAAGTCCATCATGACTGGCCTATACTTCATGTCGTTCCCCCCCAGACACATAGCGACAATGATTGATTCATCTGAGAATTTTTAATTGCCTCTGTTTACGAAATGTGCTATATAAGTAAAGCTGCTTTGCCTTGCCTTCTGGAGGTGACAGCTGCTGGTGTTGTAGGTGAAGTCCGAGATGTAAAAGGTGATTAAAAAGGGTGAGAGCACCGTACCCTGCGGAGCTCCAGTGTTGCACATAACCACCTCAGACGTACAGCTGTGCAGCCTCATGTACTGTGGCCATTTGGTGAGGTAGTTGATGGTCCATGCAGTCAGATGTTCATCCACTCCTGCACCCCTCATCTTCTGCTACAGTAGAGACAGCTGGATGGTGTTGAAAGCTCTTGAGAAGTCTAAGACATGACTCTCACAGTCCCTTTTTTGCACCTCACGGTGAGTCAGAGCCTGGTGCTGGAGGCAGATAAGGGCATCCACCACACCCATGTTTGGCTTACATGCAAATTGCAGTGTGTCTGTCTCTGGGCTCAATACAGAGCGTAGGTGGGTGAGGGGGATTCTCTCCACCTTCATTAGGTGAGACGTCAAGGCGACTGGTCTGTAGTGCTCTGGTTCCCTGGGATGTTATATTTTATGAACTGGAAACACCCAGGAGTTCTTCCAGAGGATGGTAACCTGCTCTAAACAAAGGCTCAGAATAAACATGTGCGTGACCACTTCACAAAGCTAGTAATCTATTTTATTATTATTTATTTTTCCCCGTATCCTGTCTGGCTGTGCAAACAGAATTAATGTCTGAATGCTGGTGACAAGCCTTACAGATTTACTCTCAGGTGGACCATCAAAGCTTCTGCTTTTAATGTCATGCCTGATACTTAAAACTTTATTGTTATTGTTTTTTGAATGCTTTGTAATACCGACCAGACACAGAGACAGAGGTGAAAGAGAAAGGAAGAGACAGGGGAGGGTTCCACAAAAATAAACAGTCAATGATGAACAAGGGTTTGCTTCTAGATCTGCAGAAATGAGACACAACAATACAACAGGAGCAAGCTATCACTGCATCAACCTGATGAAGAAATATAAAATCAACATTGTTTTACTGAACAGTCACACGATAATAAATCACAGTTTATTTAGTGCCAACCACAGCCTTAAGACCTGTGTTGAACGTGCCCAAATCCATACTTATGAGAGCACTGTGTGAGTACCTGTGTGTGTACACGCGCTTGTATATGTAAGGCTTCTCTATAGGAGCGTCCAATAGAGAGTGTGAGGGGCCACATATCTGCTCCCCTAAGATGTGTAGGAGATGGAAGGAGCTCCAAGTCCAAGAGATCCAGGAGCTGCCCCAGAGCACAGGGACCACAGGGAGACTGTACCCAGAAAAGCCCCGGCCCCCTCTCGAGAGGCACAGAGGATTGTCCCGGGGGGCCACAACCAGCAGCTGGCAGAGTCCCGGGAGATATCAGCGGCAAGCCCACAGCCCCGCCCGCAGCCTCCCATCCCCAAGCCGGCCGAGCCCGGAACCCAGCGACCCGGGACCCAGGGGCAACCGGCCCCGCCGGGGACCCAGCAGAGCCCAGGGACCCAGATCCCACCAGGCAGCTACCAGGATTGATTGGGCAGACGCCAAAAATCTGAAACCCCCTGAGCTAGAAGCTAGTAATCACAGTCAGTGTTTTAAACCCACATAGGCTCAGGCATGGTGATGTGCCACTGCTAAAATTTCATTGCCACGCCTACGAGATTCGCTCACCCCCTAAAGGGTAACGCGCCTCGCTCAACGACCCACCCGCTCCCATGGAAAACGCATGGCAGCAAAACAGTCTGCGCTGACTCCCCCCCCCCCCCCCCCCCCCCCCCCCCCACACACACACAGCTGGAAAAATTTCTAGGGGAAAAACTGACAGTCTTTGAGTAGGGGAAGATTGGCTGACTTAAGCTAATTTGTTTTCTA